ATGAATCCCTTGGAATTAGTGGGTTTTTTACTGGAATGTGAAAAGTACCTGGATCCAAACCTCTGTTTTCAGAAGGTAGAAGAAGTTGGTTACATGCTAACTACTGATGCAAGGGAGATGGAAAAATTCTCCCAGCTAAATGTAAGGAGATGATCTCTTATGTTCTTTGCTCAAGTCCCTGATCCAGTTGAGGCAAAATCTTTAGTGAATTTAGCTAGAAATATATGTATTTGTTGTGCAATAATGTATTTCCATTTACAAAAGCCAGTCTGTCAAAGATCATATCTCTTCTCCAAAGTGTAGTGAGTGTATGGGACTTTTATTACAAGAAAATTCTCCAGGAAAGGGTGAATTAATTATTTATTTCTATTTAGCATGAGGGTAATGATTATATTCTTTGTTTTCTTTCTTCCCCTTTCTTCAAGTACTGTAGTGGGAAATGGGTTTGTCTATACTTTTCCTAAAGAGGAGTTAAAAAGGGAGCTCCTGACCTGAGTACCATTTAATGGAACATAAGAGATATCCTTAGAAGCAGGTCACAATGTAGGAGCTGTCTGTAATTGGTGTTATATATCCCTAAGTATCTGTGTGTACAGTATCATATACACCTTTTGCTTAGTGCACTTTTTAATGAAGTTGTTTTCAGTTCTTCAATGGAGGTGAAGAAAGCTCTCTAATCAAATGTTAGGCAGGCAGGAAAGCATTAGCAGCCATGCTCAGAATAATATTTCTTCTGCAGTTCAGTAAGCTTCTTATTGAACTATTTAGCAGTAGAATGAAAAGCTGTGGGACCTACATTACAGGGCAGAAACTAACCAGTAATTACATGAGATTGTTAAGATTAGTAAGTTAAAACTCTTGTGTTCTTTGCAGGCTGTAGCTGGGGAAGACAAAAGCACATTTATGTCTTAGAAAATAAAATACCTCTAAGAATCTAGCATTTTGTATTTTTTAATATATTTTTGTGTTCTATTTAAGGCTTTATTACTTTGCACCATTGTAGTGAAGCAATCAAGGGAAAAAACGGTTTTTAGAATTTACATAAACCAAATCTATACATAACACTTATGGGAAAAGCGTATTATTTCCTTTGTTGTTCAATGCTGCTGTGTTGAGCTTGACTTTTTAAAAATATATTTCTCTAATGGTTTTGTATAATTTTATGTTACCGTGTGGGGGGTTTTAAAATTATTCCTCTAAAATTATTTTTCTTTTTTGGTATTGTACATCTTTATTTATGCCTTGCTGCAGTTCGGGATGTGGGAGGTATGTGACAGCATGAAAATGCTGCTTGGGTTTTCTAGGCTGTGTATGTGAATGGTGCCACCTCAGAGGAAATGCCAACATTTAATGTACTGTGCTCATCCCAGTTGTCAGCTGCTCCTGGGCACTTCCTTCAGGCATTGTGTCCAGGTTTGTCTGGAGGAAGAGGACGTTGCTGAGTGGCTGCTCTCGGTTTCTGCCCAGCTCAAAGTGGATTCTGATTCTCCCTCAGATATAAAATGTTGCTTCCTTGCATAATTTACTCATAACTGCAGATCTGACTAGCAAAAGTGAACACTCCCTCTTAATTTTTTTAGCTGTACCTAAAATATGCTGCTCGGTTAGAGAGGCAAAAAAAAAAATCAGAACATTATTACTATCAACAGAATTTCTTAAAACTTGGGATTTTTTACAGAACTTCAGCAATTATGTTGACAAAACCTGTATTTGGAAGAGTAGGATGCTATTTTTGTAGTGCAGTTTTTAGTTTACTCTTTCTTATTGAGCACAGTGAATGAAGATATGTAAAAGAATGCAGCTTGTCTGCTCTTCCCAGAATAAATGGAAGAAAACCAGTAGGGCTTTATGTGCAATTAAATAGTTTTATTGTTCTTTTTGTAATTCCTTTACAAAGCAACCCAGCAAACAAACCAAACTAAACAAACAGCTATGTAAGTTATCCTATATGTTTATTTGGTTGCTTGCAATTTTTAGGGGAATAAAAATAATCCATATATGTTATTAATTTTAAATATTTTCAGTAGTAAAGAAACTATTTACAAAATCAAAAGTTTGATTTTTTGCTAGCTAAAAAAAGTGGCAATGCATTGTTTGTTTCTCAGGATGATATTCCTTCTTCTTTTCATTATTTACTGGTTTTTAAAAGTCTTTTGAGTGTCCTGCCTGGATTATAAACAAAATAACTTGGAGTCACTTCTGAGACTGAAGATGCTTGTATTTGATTGCTTGTATGCAAGCAATAAAGATTGTGACATGGATCACAGTGTTGGTAAAAGTTTATTACGCTTAGTTTTGATAGTACAGATTATTATCTAAGGTCATTCTTCCCTCTGTTTGTTTAAGTAGTTTGCACTTCATTAATGATTCACTAGAAGCATTGAAAATGAGACTCAGTTAACTAATTGTAAATAATTTACTTTTTATAATGTATTTGTAATGTGTTGAGCATATTGTCAGTTCTAGCACTGCTTCAGTGTCTTTCTCTCTGCACTGGCAATCTACTTAGTAGGATTTTCCAGAGAAAAACACTTTGTGTTTTCCAGAGAAGCTGATGATCCAGCAGGGGAGGTGAAGGTTACTAAGCTCTCTCTGAGGAGTTCAGTGCTGGTTTTTCTTGCAGGCTGGTCTCAGAGCACTGGTGTAGTAGCCAGAGCACTACTCATGGATCAACAGCTGGACAAGAAGATGCTGCTTTCACACCTCTGGGAGCTCCCTTGCTTGTCAGACCTCACATGGAAAGCAGTCTTTCCCACAGGCAGGGAGTAAAGGGTGGAAGAAATCCCTTGTGCAGCAGGCAGTGTGATCAGCCTCGATGGCTCCTAGCAGTAGCATTCTCTATGAGGCCACTCTTATATCTGGCTGGAAAACACATTTCTGTGCACTACCTCCTCTTAAAAAGCAAATCCAGCATTTTCTTGCTGTTTTAATGTCTCCTTTTTATTTCTGGGGGAAGGCTCTGAAAACAGTCTGAAAATAGCACAAGGTTTTAAACCAGGTGCCATTCAGACTAGGCAAGATGTAGCAAGGAAAGATTATTAGAGCAGTGACCCCAGGTGTCAGAGATGATCCAAATCTTCCCTTCTTTGCTGTGTGTTGCATATGCTAAACTACCTTTCACCAGTCTGCTGGGAACTCCTACCAGAACTGCATGGGTTTGTATGGCTGTCCTAGGCTCTGCAATCCCCCACAAGGATCTGGGGGGCTGTACTCACAGTTTATGTGATACTTGATCTGGACCTCCCTCTGCACTGCACTGCTGGGCCAGCAAAGGAGTGGCTCCTGCATCCCTGTAGAGCATTGCTGCTCTGCACCTTGGGCTGCAGGCTCCTCATGAGGCTGCACACAGGCAATGCCCTTTCCCTTCTGAAATACTTTGAGTGGCAAGATTCAGCTGCCCAGCACTTGCCCTCATTCACCTAGGAGCTTGTATCAGTGTTTGTCCATAAAGGGCTGTAGGTAAGTTCCTAAGGCATAAAAACAGCGGTGGAAGGAATTTATTCAGAGTCCATCAGTGGTGGCAGCAGGGAGGAGGAGGAGGTGCTGATTCCTTGCCCAGCTGTGCTGCTGCTGCTGCCGGGAGCAGAGATGGACTCTGTGGCAGACAGGACTCTCAGGCCATACCCAGGGTCCAGGCTTGTCCCAGGAATGTTGGCTGTCAGCTTCAGTTTTGTGAATGTCTTATAGGTGTAGTTTGCCTTCTTTGTGAAACAAAGCAAATTAACTGCTTTAAACAAAAGCAGTACATGCTGCTGCCTGCCTCTGAGGTCAGCACGATCACTTCCATTGATGACACAAACACTAAGAGCAGCACAGAGTCTGGATCTGTTCTTTTTCCTGCTGTGAATTCTGAAATAAGTGATGTGCATGAACTACCTTCACTGTGATGATTAGATGGCATATTGCTGTGTGACTCATGTTGTTCATTGCTGTTACCATGGCTGTTACAGCTACCTTGTGAGATGTTTGTATGAAGATTTTTTATAGTATTGAAGTGGTGGTGTTAACAAGTGTTGGGGATCTTTGTGAGCTGTGTTTAAAGATAGTGTTTTAAAAATACTGTCTTTGGAAATTGTTCTGATCCATGGGAAATCTTGCTCAATACTTAGCTGTTTCTGTTTTTCTTATCATGAAGCAGAAGGAAATGTGTTTAGCTGTAGGCACTGCCTCTAAAAGCCACCATCATTTTATTATTCAATCACAAGGATCTAATGTAAATCCTTGTTATCCTCTTTTTTTTTTTTGTTATTGTGTCGGGTTTGGGGGGGGGGGGGAGGGAATTCTTTGCTGATTTTGAACTATTACAAACTGTGAAATAGCCATTGTCTTTCAATATATAACCCCAGAAGAAATGTACCTCCTCTTTTATACAGAAGATACATTATTTTTAACCTAGTTGAGTACCTATAGCTGTGGCACCTACCTTACATCTGCATAACATAACTAGTTTACTAGAAGAAAAAGAGATGTTTTTCTATCATTTTGTTGGGGTTTTACTAAAGATTAGTATAATCACATCTTTTTCCTGGATTAAGGCTTTAAATATAGATGAACTTTCACATATTAATGCAGCATTTTCATGACAATGAAGCTTGTTTAGCAATCCCTAAGTTCCAGCTTTTAGTTCCAGTACAAATAACATTGATCAGACAGGGGGGTTTGGTTTTGCTATGGTGACAAATTTAAAAGATCTCGTTAGCTCTCTTAAAAGCGATGTGATGTTTGAATCATTCATTAAACTTGCTTATTCTGTTCACTTTTAATTCTTTAAGTTTGGTGGGGTTTTTTTATGGAAATTATTTGAATTTGCAATTTAATCTGTGTTTCCAAGTCTGTTATATTTGTTTTCATTAGCTTTTCATTTAACACTGACAACCAGACAGAAAATGTATAGCATTCACAGTTTTGGTCTTTGCATGTATGTGGGTATGTTCAGAAGCAGTACATAAGAAAGATCTGTTGATTTGCAGACTAATCAGTGTTGGTGTGTGTCACTGCAGAGCGCTCACTTGGCCATGATCGACACGCTCATGATGGCTTACACTGTGGAGATGATCAGCGTAGAGAAAGTCATCGCATGCACTCAGCAGTACTCAACCTTCTTCCAGCCTACAGAGGTACCCTATGACATTGAGGATGCTGTCATGTACTGGATAAACAAGGTATGAGTTTATGCTGGAAAAGCAAGCTGGGGTTTTCTTTGTTATCTGTATGATTCAATTAGAGATGAGAGGCTAGGATGTGTATTTGTGTATGTAGGTATATCAGGACTGTTCTGATACAGACTGTTCCTACATCTGCTGTTTATGGAATAGAAAAAGAAAAGCATGCAGAAATAAGTTAAATATGTGTGGACCAAATAAATGGGAAATCTAAATTAATGCTGGAAATATATACTACACATGACATCTTGGGTGTCACTGTCATGTTGAGATGCCACAGTGCCTGCTCAAGGGTCTCTCCTTGGCTCTTTATAAGTTGTCATCTCATTGTATACTTTGTCATGATTTAAACCCAAAGCTATTCTGCTTGTTTGAACACATCTTGCTTGAAGTGATCTACCTTCACTGCATAATCAAATCAAGTGACAAGGATACCCTGTTAATCAAATGTGACTGAGCATAATAAGGGAAAGGTTAGTTTGTACAATGTAAAGCTAACAAGCAGTGACCTTAGACTGCATCCAAGACTGACATTTGCTTCAGGGCTATAGTCTGAAATGTTTGGTTTATCTCTTTAGTTCTGTGTTTGTGATTTATAGACCTTTTGAAGAACTTCTAATTTCTGTGACTTGTTTCTTAGAACAGATGACTGAATGAACTATTTTGTCTCTAGGTAAATGAGCATTTGAAAGACATCATGGAACAGGAACAAAAACTAAAAGAGCATCACAGTGCCGAATCTGCAGGAGGTCAAAAGGTAGGTGGAAGAGTTAAAATATTTTAAGCAAGAATGAGCATTTATCTATAAACAGACATTGAGCTTTTAACTGCTCATTAAAGAAAGCAAACTTGTAATATTCATTTTGTTATTAGTTTTATCACTTTCATGAAAATATACATTTAAAAATAAAACTAACAGTGTTGCACTTTTTATAGCCAGTTGTCCTTTCTGACAAATAAATCTTTGATAGCAGGGAAACATCTGTTACATTAGTGCTAAGGAATTTAAGAATAATGACTGCTTTTGAGTGAATTAAAACCCCTGATAAATCTGATATGGAAAAGACCAGAACTTTTTTTCATGGTTTTTAATAGTTTTTCCTTGTGTATTGCATGAATGTCAAAAGAGAGATCTGTACGTGATATCATGGGAAGGATTGCTCTGGCTATGATCCAAAATACTGGTTGATTACAGGTTTTATTATCTATAAAATAAAAACAGATTATGTTTGATTCCCTTTGCTAACAGGATTTTTTTTCTTTTATTTACATAGCTCAGTTAATTAAGTAGCATTATATGCCCATCAAAATATATAGGGATAGCAGACAGTTCCAGAGTATGTAAAATTCCTTGCTTCAGAAAGATCCTTTACCCTATTGTGATATAACTGTTACTGAAGAATTGGTAATCAGTCTGAACACCTTTGGTATTATTCCTGCCCATGAATGCAGAGCAGATTTCCAAGCTGCTGCAAGGCTGTAATCCTCCTTCCCAGCCTGGCCTGCTCTCACCTAAGCTGCTGCCTCCTTTTCAGTGCCACTCTGAGGGGGTGCCAGGTTACCATCCTGGATTCAATGCTCAGCTTCAAAAAACATGAGTGTAGTGAAGATCTTTGCATTTGTAGGGGTTTTTTAATATAAGGAATGCCAGTGAAGGTAATGTGACTCAGCAAAAGAAAATGGTAGTTGTTACAATAATAGTGTGACCCTGGTGCATATACCCTGCCATGGAAAATTTGAACTGTGTTCAGTAGTGATAGTAGCATAGAAATCTAGAGAATAAGATGTCCTTGGCAAGTTCATTTCTCAAATTTAGATTATACAAAGTAAACAGAGGCAGAGATAACCTGTGTTCCTCTGTCCTCTAGTGGCTTTTCTTTTTCCTGAAAATAATAGTAGGATGTTTTATGTGGTTTGTAGGTCACTTGGAAAGATGAGAGCAATTTTGAAAATCAAAACTGCATGAGAGTCTTAGTATGATAAACAAATATATATCAAAGTGAAAACACTTATAAGAGCAATTCCATAAGATTATCTGATATTTAAAAATTCAGTAATATTTATTTTCACTTATAGTTTGCAACTTATATTAGGAGTAAAAGGATAAAATTTTTAGTTTATAATTTATCTTCACTGTCAACATTTTAAAATCAATTATTGAAAGATTTATATAGTCTGTCTGTAAATGGACTCAGGGGAATAACACATTTACCCAAAAAATGGTATTGTGGTGTTTTGGATGAATTGTGAAGCTGTAACAGAACAGAAGAGCCAGGTTTTGTTGGCCAAGGTACAAATGCATTGGCAAAAAAGCAAAATGCAACAGTTGCCATATCATTGAAAAAAGTATATTTAAAGCCCTCTCTTCTGTACACTGAATTTTTGATAATATTCTCCCAGGTATGTTATGTTTTTTGGCTCAGTAGGGAATCAGCTGCATAAATTACATTGTCAAGTAAGAGATTCTGTGCTTGGGGGCTGTATTAGCATGATGACTATTTAATTCCAGGTTTTCTTTGAGAACCTGTTCAACTGATGGTTAATTTACTGCTCTGGTATCTCAGCTTTTCTTTTAGTCATATGTCTCACAGTATTTTCCAGGTTTCCACTTACTCTTCCTAAAGGTAATGGTCACTGCATGCATGCAAACATCTGAGGTTTAGAAACATGTGAAACATCCCAACTAAACCCCGAATTTCTTAACTGAGGATTGTACTGAATGCTGGCTTTACAAGGAAAACTGATGCAGATGCATTGGATGAGTCCATTGCATGCAATCAAATTTAAATTCTGAATGCCCCTTCTGCTGATTAGAGATGACCAAGCAAACATGGGAAGAATACATAATTCTAGTCAACAGGGAAAGCTCTTCTTTAGGTTTAATTTCTGGTCAAGAAGCAGGAAAATTAGGTACCTATAAGGTGAAACAAAGTTAACATCTAAATTTTAAAATAATTTCATCATTTCCTACAGTTACACATTTGCAAATTAATCAGTTCTGAAAAATAATTTCAGAGTAGCCCTCAAGCCTGCCAAATTGTGTTACTGTGTTGTTATAGAACTGTGGTCAATCTTTTGCAACAAAGAGAAAATTTCTACGTTTACAAAAGGTTTAAACATCAAATGCAGATTATTGGATACTACAAATTATAAGATATACCTGTTTTTTATGTCTGGATAGATAAAATCAGTATTAACAGATTATGAGGTTGGTTTTGTTTTCTTTCCCTGTCTTCTGCTACTAGCTGTCTGTAGAAGATAAGAGAGGAAGGAGTGTGTATGATTTTTAGTTCCAGGTAGTCCTCTGTGGACCTTGATCAGCTGGTGATTTGTGGTAACCTCATCTTTTTCTGGTAGAGTCTCTGCATCTCTTTTCAGAATTAGGATTTCAAGTTTGGTAGTAAATAGCTTTGATTTTCAGGCTTCCACTGAATAATATGTAGTGAATGTACAGTTGCACTGGTTAAATTGCTGGTTTTCAGTGTAGTTGGAGCTTTCCCAAAAACATGTTGTTCTTCTGTCTGCTTCTGTGGTTTAGACTGAATCTGTCTTAACAGATTTAAGTCAATTGCAAATCCTATGAGAGAAACAAAAATAACTTCATTTAAGTACCTGAATTCCTCAAACTTTCTGTAAGATCAGTTTAAACAGTGCAACCTCTTGTGTGAAGGTAAAACACTAACACTGTAGTTCCACTTGCCACTAGAATTTAATGTTTCATAAATCCACACTGCTACAAAAGCTAACCTGTCAAGAAGAAAAGTTTGCAGCAGAATCAGCTTCTTGATGCAATCAGTGCACAGCTGCATGAACACAAATGATGCTGCAAGGAAGAGAGCAGAAACAAGCAGTTCATGAAAAGCATGACTCTTGTGTTTGGCACCAGAAGATGCGTTTATGTGGAAATAAATTTATCATAGCCATGTTTCAAACTTTTTGTTAGGGGTGATAAATCATAGTGTAAAACCACAGGCTCTCAACCTGAGGGACAATTTTGTTCTTTCAGCTTTTTTTTTTTTGTTGTTGGTTGGGTGTTTTGTGGGATTTTATTTTGGTTTTGTTGTTGTTGTTTTAAACATTGGGAAGAAGTCAGTCAGGATTCTCTGCTTAGTTTGTTTCATAGTGACTGATTCTTGTGAAGTTCCAGGGCAAAAAGTTTATTCTTGCTGATCTGAAGTGACAGTTCAACAATCACTGAATTCCCAGGTTGTCCAAGAGACTTCAGCTTTTCTTTAATCTCTTTTCCTTTATGTGGCCTTAGAAAATGTATACTTATAAATCTTATGGTATGTTTGAATTTAAATTTTAAAAGTCTTTTACCCCTTTCAAGCATATTCATAGTCATCTCAATCACAGTTTCAGCCAGGTGAATAAATAAAAATATATATTGGATTACTAGTTTTGAGGTGTTACTGTTAGGGAGATCTAGTCTTCAGAATTGAAACAAATGTGTGCTTTTTTCCAAAGAATACTTCTTCAGCCTAGCATTACATAGACATTGGTTTTTTGAGTTCCAGGGCTGAAATACACTGCACTTTGATAAATGCAACAACAATGTTCCTGTCAGTGTTAAATAGAATAAAAGGCAGCCTAGGTCTGATCTCAGCCAATTTAGCCAAAAGCTTGCTTTATAATAGGTTTTAGGATTCCTGATTGCAGTTGAAAATTAAGATAATTTGTTTTGAAATTTCCATGGTTTTCCATACACTGACTATTTTTTAGTGAGATTAAGAGAAAGTGAATCCTGTGTAAAGGGTATAACAGAAATGTCCAGAGCCACACACTGCATCTTGTAGTTGATTCCTTCTAAGTGCCTTTGGGATTCTGTCCTGCTGCAATCCAGTGAAATGGAGGAGAGGGATGTTGAGAATAGCTGTGTTACCACTGCACACCCATTAGTGCACAAGAGCTTTTTTCCATAAAAGCTCTGCATCATTACTACAGTTGCTTTCAAGGTTTTGTAGAAGCACAGTATTTTAACAACCTCATAAAATAATAAGGTTCCATTGCAATTTGTTCTGTGGTAGCTTTAAACTGCATTTTTACCATTTCCAGAAAATATTTTTCTTCATAAAAAACAAAATAAATTGTTTCCTGCAATTTGGTAGTGGTTTTGATTTTTTATTTTTCTACAATGAAATTGATGGAGTGGTGACATTTTCTGTGTGTATTTATAGTACTGGTACATAATATTTTTATTCTTAATACTAGAAGAATTATGCCAGAGTAGAAAAAAATCAGTGTGCTTCAGATTAGTATTTTTTTTGTGTAGGAGTTTAGAGTTTTATGTATTAGTTCTGATAATTCCTCTGCCAGTAGTCAAAACTCCATCTACATTTCAGGTCATTGCACATCATGCAGCTGATGCTAATGTGATTTGTCATTGTAAAAATATAACTGCCTGTACCTCTTGTTGTCCTGAAAACTGTCATAAGATTTTTTAAAAATATTGTTGAATGTTACTGTTTGGCTTGAAGAAACTAACACAAGCTTCACTGCAGTTGGGTGTACTGTACTACAGTGTGTTTATCCCTTTTTTCATTGCTTTAGCTTCCCTGCTTCCCCATGTGTGCTGCTGGAGTTCATTTTGATACTTGTGATATCATGACTTCAAGTCTCAAATGAATTCTTCAGTCGGATTGCATATGTAGAGTACAATTAGATGTGTGAAAGCATTTCATAAAACTGCATTGATCTGACAATCTTAGCTGTTCATGTGGGAAAATGATAATGTTGATCTACAAAGAGTGCAGACATATTTCTCCAGTGTTATTGCTGCTAATTAGCTCAATATGCAGAGGTTACAGTGCACTTATGCTTGCCATTAAATTACAACTCACTGTTATACAAAACTGAGAATGTTAAAGAAAATTGCTTTATAAAAGTAATTTATGAAATCTGATAAAATGTTCCTTTTTTTTTTTTCCTTTGCTTTTTGCTTTTATCCTTTTTTCCTACTGCTTCCTATGAAGTCTCCTACCAAATGGTTTTGGAAACTGGTTCCTGTAAGTTTGCCCAACTGCTTCACTTTGATCAAATTGCTTATTTTGGGAATGGCTTTGTCCATGTCATGCTGGTCTAATCATTCATTTCATTTATCTGTGTGAGACAATTTTATAAGAGATTGTCCTGCAAAGGAGTGCATACCTGTAGAAGCCTGTTTTGCAAGGTAATCTGTGCAAAAGAAACATGAGATATGATGCTGGATAAGGAATTACTTTTCAAGCAGTCAGTGTGTTTGTACAAGGCAGTGCTACCTGTTATTAAATCATGTCCTATGAACATTTATAAATTACTTTTTCATAAACTTTCAGTAAACACATGCTATTTGATACCAGTTGTCTTCTAAAAAGAGACTTGCAGAAGTAGCTTTTGATTGTTGATGCTACATGCAATCTGAAATCTTATTTATTCTAAGCATATGCAATCATTCCACCATTCATCTAGAATTCCCCATTTTTTCAGCTGATTTAAGACTGCTGTTAATCTCTCCCCACACAAAATGACCCAAAGCAGCCCTACTTTTAGTGAGACTATAATTTCACTAAAAGTAATAAAAAATATTTTTTCATATCTGCAATAATATAAAATTTTTCTCTGTGCTGTGTCTCCTTGGGGTTATCATTACTTTCCTCTATCATGTAGGAATTCACACTTGATGTGCATTCAGGTTGTTTATTTGGCTAGGTTTGGCTGGGAACAGCTCTTAAGGTATATGCAGAATTGCATACTTCTGATCTGAATTCCAAAGAACTAATTCCCATCTATCATGCTCTAAAGATTAACAAATAATTGATCTAGCAGTCCCTCAGATGTTTGTTGCCACAACTAATGAATCACTGTCCTTACATTGCAAGGAAATTGAAAATAACAAGGCAGTTGCATGTAGGCAACAAGAAAAATTACTCTGTGTCTGGAAAAGTAATTTAAAGGTACTGTCTCCAGCAGGCTGAGCAGTGTTCAGACTACTGACAGGCTCTGTGGGCAATTGCTCTGTAGAGGTATCTATTACAGTTGTGACACACACAGATACTCTGCTCCTCACTGTACAGCCCATTAATTTTGTTTTGGAGTTAAGGGAGTGTAACTAATTGGAGGGAATAATGCAGAAAAAAATATAAGATGGACCATGATATCACAAATTTTTTTTGTCTTATTTTGTCAAAGTAAGGTTACTTGAAAACAGTTTCAGAATGTCTGTGTTCTGTTTTTGTCTGTGGTGTTGGTTTACTAGTGAGTATCTTCCTTTGCATAAAAATGATATTCAACTCTAAAATACTCCATCTGTTGAGAAGCTAACTCCAGTTTGCCTGCCAGTTATCTGTAAGCAACTTGAATTAGTGGTATTTATGTTACTTAGTGTTGTTAGCTCAGTAGAGATGCAGTTAAACCCCAAGTGCTACTGATAATACTCAGGCTGCTCTATCACTTGAGCCAGTGTTCTGTCTCTCCCCTTTAGAATAGAGCACATTTCATAGTAACAGATATTCCTGACCACAGAGGCAGCTAAAAACTCTGATAAGTACATTACTAGCATGTTAGCTACTGTATGGTAAATGTGTAAGAGCATTCATTCTGAATGATTAGCTCTGAATACACACAAGCACTTAGGACAGAGTAGCTGGTGTGCTGTTGGTTCGTCTTTAGCTGACCTTGTTTCTAGGCAAGTGTCTTGACTATACCTAGACTAGGTTAAGTGGAATAAGCTCAAAGATGCTAAATCAGGAAGGTTTAGAATCTCAGAAACAAGATGCCTGTATTAACATTTACATTTCAATTAGCTCTAGAGCTTTAAAATGTAGAAGTTCATCTTTTGCATTATTGTATATATAAATTTGGTAGCGAACACTGCAGCTGATGAGAAGAGTTTCTTCAAATGGAAGTTTAATTAAATTCAGTGCAATTACCAGAGTCTTTCATTTTTTCAGTATAATTTCTTTTATTTTTTCAACCAAAATGAAATATGATGCCTGCTATACAGTAATGAACCTAGCAGATAAGGTTTTATGAGTTTATCTTTCCTGAAGTAATGTGCCTGGCATTCTCTACAATGACTTAAATCCTCTATGTCCACTTCAAAGATATGACACAGTTTCTAGCATGGGTGGGCACTGTTCATGAGGCCAGTGAAGGCATCATCAAAGTGCAGTGTACTTTTTCACAGGATTTACTGTGCAACACCACTATATTGTCAGTTTCAAATATTTTTGAATACTCCATTAAAAGACACTATTCAAAAGAATATATAAATTAAACAGAGCATGTAGAATCATAATGTTCAGTCCATCTGTTATTATTATTGATTCTTAATCATAATTAAATTGTGGTATTTCATAGACTTAATTTCAGTCATGTTGAGGAGGACATACATGGACATAATAACGTGGAATTTGAAACTTAGAGCGTTTTCATCATAGTGGGTCACTGGGTTGCCATAGAGTGAGAGAGATTAAACTTTCACTGCAATTATAATTGACCTATTTCATTATATATACTAGGGAGTATTAGGAACATGAAGAAAAGAATATGAATAATGCATAACAGGAACATGATTTTTGTTTGGTGTTAATGTTTCCTCTAGCACACAAAAATGGGATTTTCATTTTTATAAAGCATATTTGGCACACAAATACGACTACACTAAAAGCATGAAGTAACAAGTAAATCTCAGGGGATTTTTAAAATATTAATTGGTTGAGGTATAAGTTCTCTGGGCCAAGCACAAGCCCTTTATTTTTCTAGAACTGATGTGGCTGCTGTTGCCAGATTAGGCTTTTAGTTCTTAGGCCAGTTAGGGGACACTGACATTCACTAAAATAATGCCACGTGATCCTTGACAGAAATCCAGTGACAGTAAGTACAGCCCTCAGGGTTAGTCTGTGGTTCCACAGACCTTTTTGCATGCACAGTTGGCCTAAACAATTCCTACCCCTCCATAAAACCTCCATCCCTGCTCATGCACTCATTCACTGCACAGGAGGAGGGAGTTGCTGTAGCTGGAGCAATGGCTTGGGTACAGTCCCATCAGTAATTGCACCAGCACAGCCAAAAGGTGGAGAGTAGGAGGTAAGAACAGTCAGTTTTAGCCTTGCTGGGAAGAGTGATTTCCACAAAGACTTCTGAGAGTCCCTGCAGGGAGACTTGCAGTTCAGTGGGTATAGATGCATTTAAATAGCACAAGATTAACTCAGAAACACTCTGCTGCTCGTAGGTAGTTCTGTGGTGTGAGTACAGCAGTAACCCTTCACTACTGTATTAAAAAGGTTTTGGTAAATAATACTAACAAATTAAAATCTATACCACTTTCTTCCATCTCCATTTGTTTTCCCAGGAAGACGTGAAAAAAAATAGGAATGATGTTAAGTCCATTTTTTCAGTAAGCCCTCCTCTCTTACCACATAAAACACCCACAACCCATTGAAAATATATTCACTGCAGATAAATGCTATATTGACATCCTAACCTAAGGATGTCTTTATATGCTGACTGGGTTTTTTTTAAATATTTCCATTTATTACTGCATGGTCATAACTGTTGACCATTAATATTTCTTTATGTTTATGACTGCTTACATGTGCTAGTAATAAAAATGGAGTTGATCAAATGCACATTTCCTTGTTTCTGAATTTGTCATTGAGTCAGTTGTATGAATAAGATTTTGGGCAAGACACTTAGGTGTGCTAACTTCAGAGCCATGTGACTTGCCAGTAAACTGAAGTTGCAGTAGCTGAGGACTTGTCTCTATCTTTGCACACAGATAATTTTTGATCATATAATAATGACTGTTAAATTTTAATTAAGGCATAGAATGTTATTTAGTTTACTGTGCTATAGAGAGATCATCAAAACTTGGTAGTTTTGAAGACTAAACTCAGTGTTAGCATTGTTCCTTTCCTCTTGGATATTAAGATAATTGTTAGATGTTAGATCCTATATTATCCTGTTCAAAATGTAGCATGGCATGAATAGTTTTAGGAAATAGAATACTGAGAATATTCAGCTGTTTCTTGAATACTGCTTTTTCACTAACAGTGTAAAACCTACAGTATGACTCTGTTTCTTCATATGTTTCAGAGCCTTTGTTTCTCTAAATGTGTCCATTTCAAATTGTAGGCTCGTTACCGGAAGGAGCAAACGTTGCTGAAGCAGCTGCCCTGCATTCCATTGGTGGAGAATCTGCTGAAGGATGGTACAGATGGCTGTGCTCTGGCAGCCCTGATCCACTTCTACTGCCCAGATATCATTAAACTGGAGGGTATGTCTGGCATGTCTCTCAACTTGTATACATGGCCATAAAAGTTTAAATGTTTCTGTTTGAGAACTGTGTGAAAGAAGGTGCTTAAATGCAGTATACAGCAGGCATCATTTGAATTTGGTGGGTTTAATATACACTTTGAGCCTATTTCTTTTTATATTTAAATAAAAGGAGCCCAGATGTCCTTCCCTGATGTGCTTGCTTTTATATTGCCACACTAAAATAAACATACTTGAAACTACCTGCAAAACTCTTATTCTTGAAGCTGCATAAGTGCTTTTTGTGCATCTGAGCAGTTACAGATATAAAACTGAGAGGAGTTTAGAGCTAGGCTCTGCATAGCTTCACTGCATGGCAAATAGTTGCTCTGTATTCTGAGCTTTTAGTTCACCTGAGACCTATCTGAATCATTTATAGAGTAGCCAAAAATGTATAGTGTAGAATGTATTGCTGTCATGCTGTTCTATAATAGCATCGTCTGTGATGATGAGCAGCTTCATCCCATTCTTTTGCTCAGAAGCCTGGTAAAGTTATACCTTCCTCTTGGCAACCAAGAGCTGTAGAATGTCTTGGCAGCTAACACCCATCATTTTCTGCCTGTGTTCTTTCTATCATACCTTTGATGTCGTGGGAACACTTAGACAGAAACATCCTGAGAAATTCAGGAATATGAAGAAGGGTTTAGAGCTTGCTAAGGACTGAAATCTGGAATTCATATTCACAACCACTTTATAGGGATCTTTCAGCACAGGAGGCATTGAAGATGAAAGGCACAATGATGCATTCATTCACCTTTATTCTGCAGCTTGAGAATTTTGATAAATAGAACTTACAATTTACATAAATATTGCAGCCAAATGCATACTATTATATGAGATTAGGGAAGAGTTAGAACTTGGGTGGGATTGTCTGTGGTAACACCTGGTGCCTCTGCCCTGTTCCAGCATGGCTGAGAACACAGACACTCTGAAAGGTCTTGTGTGCCTTGCCTGACCAGCACCTTCCCCCAGCATCTGCCTTTGAGCAGGGCAAGGCACATGTCAGCTTTGGAACTTCAGTTTTAATATTCTTGTTAGGTGTCCTGACATCATCTTCCCTAAAGATACAAATGTGCATGTCATTGTCTCAGAAGTAAATTCAAAGGCACTACAAAGCAACTGGAAACACTTTAATAAGATTTTGCTCATCTTCCCTCTACTTAGGTAATACAGTTTTTCATGCATGTTGAATTTTACTGAGATTTTGCTCTGTACTGAAACTGAAGAAGGCGGGTAATAAAAATACATATGCAAAAATGCTTAAAAATGCATTAACAAAAAAGAAAAAAGTATTTTAGGGTTCTCTGTTGTCTGAAATAGCTAAATTCTTCTCATTAAGTCTTCATTTCACTTTCAAATCTAGGTTTCCTTGAAGGAATACAGAACTAGAAAGGACTCCCATTGAGTCAAGAAGTTGACTATTGTATGAAATTATATAATCCCTTTCTTGAATTTATCTTGTTCTATCTTAAAACTGCCAAACTGTTGAAAATCTGTACTCTTCTTACCCACTGTTCCTTTTTTTTATATGATTTTAAATTTCATTCTTGTTTTTTACCAACCTATTCTTGGTTTTTACGTAACCTGTCTTCTGTGCCTTTGTTGTTCCTGCAGCAGTATTCTTTGGATTGAATAGTTTCTAATCCGATGTTCACATTTGTGATTTGTTTTCTCCCTCTTGTTTTAGCCCAGGCTACTGAACCAAGCCTTTTCAGTCTCCCTTGCTGAAGTGGATTTCCATTCTCATTGTTACCCTCAACAGTCTTCCTCTGCAGCTTGTCTAGTTTGGGTTTATTGTTCTTGACTGTAGAGGGTTATAATCGTACAGAAAAATCCAGACATCCCATTCCTGCTTTGTTCAGTGCTCCTCTGTCACTGCTGGAAATGAATTTTCTGATAGGTTTTAGCATCATGTTTGTTTTTTTCCATAGCTGCATAATGCCAAAGGCACACATGTCTACACTGGCTAATACCTGATAACTCCCTGCTCCATATCACCTTCAGTCAGTGAATCACATTAGAATTTTATTAGATTCAAATGTATGACTTCACGTTAATCTCATTTCAGTCAGTTTAGCCAAACATTTTTTCCTACTGATCATTTGTGGATTTGGAATTATGGACTATGTCTGATTTTCTTCAGTGTGGGAGTCCTTATCCTGCTGGGATCAAAGTAGATTTCTTTTATGAAGGAACTTCTTATCCTTAACAATTCAAAACTTATGTGGAGTTCTGTCATACATTGTTGCTTTAGCAATAAAATCTGATGCATGCTCTGGAAGTATGATTAATTCTTTTCTTCAGTCCTTTTTTTTTGAGGACTGTCTTTTTTTCATGGGACTTATTATTGGTACTTACCTGTGCAAGAAGCAATTATAAAAAGACAACAGAGACTATCTGCAGAGAATACTGTGTAACTACACAAATCTTTTCACAGCCACCACTTCTTTGTCTTTAAATAGCACTTTCAGAGAGTGATAATTCATATAACAGCCTTCAGCTCCTTGGAAAATCTCATCTCAAACATCTCAATGCACAAACATGAATACCTAAGACCAGGCTGGTTTTTTGTGAAGATTCAGGCTTATTGATGCTAAAATGTGTTCTTGCTAAAGACAAAGATCTAATATGTACAGAGAAATGTATGCAAAACTGTGTCTATTTCTTACTGCCATTGCTCTATAGAAAACCTAATTATAAAAAAAATATACTAGTGATTAGATGTATTTTTTCATTACATGGGAATAGTTGGGGTGAGAGAATAACTTACATTTTCACAAAAGGCAAAAGGGAAACAAATTAACTTCTCAACATTGAAAAACAAAAATAATTTTTACAAAAATATCTAAATATTTAGAAATGCAAAGATAAAATGTAAATTAATAATTTCTTTCATTTCTGAATTAGAAAAATAAAAGTCTCTGGTGGGGAGGGGTGGGGTAGAAATTATGTCTGAAATTATCCAGTAAATGCTCCTGAATCAGTAAAAGCCAAAAAGCAATTTTTGGAAATTTGGAGTTGTATCTAATCTTTGCTTATTTTCTTCCATTTTAGATATTTGTTTGAAAGATACAATGTCTTTGGCTGACAGCCTATATAATCTACAGCTGATTCAAGAATTTTGTCAGGAATACCTCAACCAGTGTTGCCATTTCAGTCTTGAGGATATGCTCTATGCAGCTTCTTCAATAAAGGTAAAAATAAAACAATAAAATAAAAATGCAAGCAACATCCACAGAACTATTTTGTTAGTGATGTGTTCAGTCTTTTATAGTCTGCTGCTGTATGACTTCTCTTGTGACATAGCATGCAAGACACAAATTTCAGCAGAATGAAAAGCCACCTTCTTTTGGCCATTATGTTTTCCTAGTAATTTCAAAGTATTTTTTGAAAAGGATATGTAAGAACTTTGGTTTTGTGCAAAACTATTTCCCACTTTATCTTTTTTCTTATTAATTAATAGTTGAAGTCTGTAATCTGCAATATTTCTGTTGATATGTAATAGTGATCTGCATTAGTTTCAATGCATCAAGGCCTTAACAAAGGGTGGAAATATTAAGGACTTGTTTATGGAATTATTACTCACTGTTCTTACTCATTTCTGTATACACCATTTCTTGGGTTTTAATCTTAAAGCTCTTTTACTTTTGTAAAAGTGTAAATTTCTGAGTTAAATTTTTTGAACAACCAATGGCTTGATGCCCCAAATACAAGCAGCAACACAATTCCAACAAATACAGTTGTTTGAATAAGCAATTAAGTGTATTCCATCAATCTAAGATTTTGCTCTTTTAGAAAGAGGAAAAGAAAACATTATTCTGTAATTCTTTAAGCCTGTGCAGAAAGAAAAGGAGCAACTGAACGATTTCTTGCCTAATTGTAATTTTAACTTTTCATTATTATGTTTCACCAAGACTTTCTTCTATATAAAACACACTTCAATTGCTTAAGATTCTTGTTGGCTTGCCTTTAGGGAATGAAATATTATTTTTCTGAAGTCAGCATATCCATTGCAGATGGGATGTAATTGGTTTCTAAATATCTGGGTCATTTCACTGCTTTTATGATTTTCTAGCAATCTCACAAGCAGAGTCACAGAGGCCAGAGCTTGCATACAGCTTTGTTGTCTCCTGTAGGGTTGAACCCAATCCTTTCCAAATAAGTCATGAGCTGCCAGGGTGAGTAAGGGACCAAAGTCTAGACTCCTTAGCTGTTGCTGGTTTATTTTGTGTATGCAGAGTTGTGCAGTGAGTGCTTTCAGGCAGCTTTTGGTGCTGTTAAATTTCACATGCAGTGATCTACCTCTGCTGCATTGCAGTCTGCCTTGGCTGCACTCCTGTCCTACAGCCACGCTCAGGGGGCTCCAGCAGGACTCTGTCACTGCATCTTCATGGTTTCTCACTGCTCACAGATACATGGGATAAATGCAATTAATTATTCTTGTTTTGGTTCATGACAATTAGTCATAGCTTTTTTATAGTAATGGCTTGAATTATTTCTCAAACCAGTATGCACTAGGAAATTTCAATTACAAAAAAAACCACACTATAGTAAATATCTTGTCAATATCCCAATGCATCAGACTTTACACTTTGAACTTAGTGATTTTGCTGTTTCTGAACATTGATTTTAGGCAGGATTTAGAGTTCTTTCAAAGAGTTAGGGTATTTCTAGATCTGAGAGAGCCCTTTTGTGATCATGTTTTTACAAGTTGTTGTGGCATGGATGCTTATTTAGATGTAAATGCTACAAAGCAAGCCTGCCATGTTTTTCTTCTAAAACTTGGCATGGAAACTTCAGCTAGTAAACTCTGTTTTTCCAGTGTTAAGAATTAATTTGCTTGAAAAATAAATTCATTGTTAAAGGAGTTCCTCCTTAGTTTTCCAGTGCATCTGAGTAAATTTTAATAAATATGTTTATTCTCCAATGAATTTTATTGTCACTAAAAAAAAACCTTGTATTGTGAATGAATATTTTAAATATTGCAGATTGAGTTACACTGGTTTGTGGAAGCTACTCATGTCAGCCTACAAAATGTACATAGTATGAAGTCTTAGGATTTGTAGAGGTGTGTGTTTGTTAATAAGTAGAAATTCCTGTCTGTTTTCAGAGTGGCTCATACTGCACAGTAGGTGCCACTCTGCTTTTGGCTTACAAACCTCTTACATTCCTAGTGGTGACAGAAAAAGTAAAAAATACCAACTGCTGATATCTTACTGGAAAAAGCCTCAAGAAAAAAATCACAGCAGAGTTTTTGAAATTACAGTGCTGTGCCTTGTGTGGTCCTAGAAATTACAGTAGGTATCCTGGCTTGCTGCTGGTTCTTGAGAAGGAAGAGAGCAGAACCTCTTCTTAAGTGATCCAGCACAAACTACATATCTTACATTCTTCCCAGGGCACCCTGCACTGTCCTGGTACATTAAATCAAGGAAGGTTAGAGACAGGATATGATGCAGAAATTTAGTGCAGCACTTGACCAAGGTGACACTGCCTGATTTCAGTTTTTCCATCAAAATGCACAGAAACACAGTGACTTCACTTAAGCATCCTAAGTCTTTGATAGAGGCTCTGAGATTTCCCAGCAGATGAAACTGTTGGCTTAGTTCTGGTTTAGCACAGAGGAGAAATAAGCTTTGTCTGGATTTCTAGACAGCTTTAATGTGTCATAATCAAAGGAAGCAGAAAGTTTTGTTGCTCCTTATTGCCCATTTCTTCTCCTCTTAGAAAAATGCATTTGTAAAGTTCTTCATAAGATGTTTACTAAGGCAGGGCTACTGATATTAAAGAAAAAAATATTTCAATACATTCCATGGATGCTTGAGGCACCAAGAGGGGACCATACTGGTTCTTGGTTGTTATCCTTTGAGACAGACAAACAGAAGTTGAGAGTGATTACATAAAAATAATCACAATGTTTTCTGAATCCTCCCTGCATATTTAACGAGCAGAAATAATAGAAATCTTGAGTCTGTCTTCTCTGGCTGCTCTGTGCTGAGATCTGGAGAGGCTGCTCACCCAAGCTCATGCAGAAGGCATATTTGTTGGAATGAATGCGTTCAGAATGTGAAATGACGCAAATGTGAGAGATGATTGCTGTGTCTTGGCTGAAAGGGCGTTCCTCTGACCTAGATGTGGGCCAGACTCCAAACTTTGCAGAATCACAACTAGGCATATAGAATAGGTACCTTATTTTTGCACCTGATTACTAACCAGAGTGGCAGAAAAAAACATTTGCCCTGTCAAATCCTTTTTGATTCAGATCCAGAGCTTCTTTTTTTTTCCCACTGCTGAACAGGAGTATATGATATCTGAAGTATTGATGATCTTGAAGGTCTCTTCCAACCTAGTCATTCTGTGATTTGTATTAAAAAATATTTATTGCACTTGAGCAGTTTTGAATACTTTTACTTTCTGATGTAATATTGATGATGTTTTTTGTAAATAACATAAGCAGAGGCTGTAATCAGCACCAGAGATGTGAAAAATAGTGTTCAAGTATATTGCATAGATAAATCCTAGAAATTCAGGGCTGCACAATGTCCACACATGTTGCACAGCTTTCCCTCCCACTGCCAGCCAGGCTGCTCACCTAAGCCTGAGCTGGCAACTGGAACCCCTTAAGGACCTGGGAGAGCAGCTGGCTCTGCTTGGCGAGGCACTTATTATGTATGGTGGGAGTCAGTTCAGCCATTCCATTCCCATCTGGCTGGGTTAAAACGATTGAGGATCAGGAATTAAAAGTAAGATTCAACCAGGGAACAGTTTTTTGAGGCAGTTTCTCCCTGAGAGGGACCAAATGTTCCTGACTCATTATTTAAAGGGAAGCAGCGTGGTTTGCTTTCACTGATGTTAATCGGCCGCTCTTCCCTCTCAGTTCTGCTCTGAAACAAGGCAAGTGGATTTGAAAACTGACTTGTTGTGGCATTTATTAGCCTGTGGCAGCACAGAGGACAAACTGGTAGTGCTTGGATCATACACAGCTGTAGTCTGGCCTTCTCAAGACACTTTGTGACACTCCAGTTTTCTGCAGTCTTGAAGCATTTATGTTTGCACTTGTATAACAAAAAAGCTGTAGTTTACACTGCATGTGACCTTTCCTGGCCCACTGAACAGAGATTTTCATGTGCATCATGGTAAAAATTTCATGGTGTATTTTATGTTCATTTTGAAAAAAATTCTAAAAGCTTCTAAGGCTGCTCTCACACCCAATTTTAGTGGATGCAAGCCTGGTGACAAATTACATGTATCATTTGTATGTATGATATTGTGGTTATTCTCTAAATATGCAGATCTAAAACCTATAGGTGAGGTGTTAGGAGGGTATAATTTATTTGAAGTATTTGAAAATAAATGAGATTAAATGAAATGAAATTAAATGAGAATGTTTAGCTAACAATGATCTCTGAAGCTGCAAGTCTGCCATCTGCTGTTCAGGGGGCTTGAGCCAGCCTGGACTGCTCAGAGCTTCCTTAGTTTTTATTACTGTTAAAATATTGTTGTGTGTAAGTGCATGTGATAATCATATGGCAAGCTGTTAGAATTTCTGTCACCATAATCAAGGGAGAAACCTATGGAAATCATATCTACATTCTTTTGAGTTCTGAATAGCAACATTACTACAGACCCACTGCTAGTTTTTCCAAAAAAATTTGTCGCTGATCATCAGTCTTTCCCTTCGATCGTTCTGACTAAAAATAACCTGTGAGAAAACGTGATTTCCATCATGATGGCTCACCATCAGACATCTAAATAGCCTCTGTTCTCAGTGGGCTGTGCAGCACTTTCATTTTTAGTTCAGTAAATACTGCTTTGGTGGCTTCAGAAAAACAAACTGTCTTGCAGCTCAGCACTGCACAGAAGATATTCTCAGAAGGAATATCTGTCCTTCATAAAATAGTCACACTGTTGTGTGTCTATTTTTTGTTGAAATGCAGCATTTCAACATAAACACAAGAAATTGGAGTATCTAAATGCAATATGATTTTGGATGGGAACAAAGTTGTAATTAAAACATTTTATGATTTAATTTTTTACTAAAAGATCAAGCCAAAAATATGAAAGTTTAAGGAGAGGCAAGGGAAAGGGGAAGATATTCAGAGAGGATTTATAATATTTTGAAATTGTAGTATTAAAAATCATATTCGTCTGAGAAGTACATCTGGTTTTTTCTTGGTCTAAGCTTCCTAATGAAATCAGTGTGTGGTACTGAAATGCTATGCTTGAAATTAACTTGAATGGAAAAGATTCTGCTATGCACTTTTCCTCATTCAGTTCTGTCAAGCTGAATAAACAGCAATGGGGTTTTTCCTATTCTATTTATAACTTCTGTGTAATAGCTATGCTACATCTGCCTGATCCCTTCGCCATATAGTACAGTGTAGGATAACTTTTGGTCTGAATATCCCTTTGCTGAAGTATAGGCTTATCTATGTTAGAAATCTTCAGGAAAAAGAAATCTGAAGCAAAAGTGTGAAACAGATACTCAAAATTATATTTTCAGATATACTGATGCAGAATTTAAATCATCTCATTTATTATCAAAGGGTTTTTAGTAAATATTTTGTTTATTTTAAAATTACTTTCTTACCCTTAATGCCTGTGGTTTGTTTTTGAATTAGAATGACATTTTTGTTTCAAATTTTTGAAAGAAACTCTTAGAATCAAAAAGTTGTTTAATATAGCTTCCCAGTTTAATGTATAAGCATTGTTTACATCTTCAGACTTTGTAAGACTGGTGGCAAAGGTCTGTGCACCTGTTTGAGCCAGCTCAAACCTGGATATTTGCTGATCTCCTTCAGCTGATATTTCTAGATATGAAGTGGCACTGAAGATGCAGAAGCTTTGGCCTCTGAACTCTTTAGCCTCCACAGTCAACAACCTTCTGGGCTTTTTGCACTCCTCATATCTTCTTGCAGCAGAAACAACTGCTCCTGCCTGGCTTTCCTCTATTGATTTTTGTTGTTGTTGTTGATGCAGTTTGTCACCAGTTGTTTTTTCCTTTTCATCTGTTTTTCCACTCCTGTTTAATCTGGAGGCTCCCACACTGTGTGTTTCATAGCTGTGTAATGTGAACATCAGCAGCGCATAAACCTTTGGAGCTAAAACCTTTTTCTAACCTGCAGTCAAGAAACTCTGCTGCTGTTTTTTGGTTTGCATTAAAGGCTTGTAAATTTGGTAGAACTTCACAAGTATGACAAATGCACATACTTAACACAAAAGCCAAAATCAGTTTCTAACGTCTAAAACAAAGGGCCACCATACTTTTTCATGGTAAAAATCTCTGAAAAAAGTGTTATCTGCCCTTGCAATGGGCTTTTCAGTGCTGTTTTTTAATGGAAATGGCTGATCTTTGGCAGGCATTTTTTCCCACCCATCCTGCTCCTCTCTGCCCTCCCTGCAAGACATCAGGCATGAGCATATGCTTGTTATGAAACATTTCAACCCAATCGGTTGCAATCTGGTCAAGTTATGTATTGGTGCTTCAGATCAGTTGTACTGGTCTCTATTTCTAGAAAAACAGTGGAGATGGTAAAATAAATTGAGATTGTAAACTGGCTGAAACACAGAGTAATCTCCCAAATGCTGCTTAATCTATTTACTTGCAGGCTTGTGTTCTAACATCAATTTCTCTCCATGGTTTTTTTATTTCATGTAGAGCAATTACATGGTGTTCATGGCAGAATTGTTCTGGTGGTTTGAAGTGGTGAAGCCATCATTTGTACAACCCCGTGTTGTTGTGCATCCCCAAGGTAATTATGTTATGGATTGGCCTTAATATGCATGTTTTGATATGTATGTGTACAGATTGCCATTGTGTTCACAGATGCAGTGAATATTTTAGTTAACAGGATTTGGAAGTGTACAACCCCCTTAAAGAAGGAAAGGAGTTCTCTTTCTCCATTGTAAATCTATATCTCATCTCATAAATCATAATTATATTTTGTTGTCTGTTACCAAAAACTCATTAAAACTCATTTAAATTGTTGTGGTATAATCACTTGCAAATTTTCCTGACCTAAACAAGCCTTGAATCCATTTATGCCCATGCAAGAATTACAAATATAATAGGAAACCAAGAACAGAATTTAGCCTGAAGAGCTTGTGTTGCTGAGAAGATACCAAGAGAAAGAATCATAAATCTGGGCAAAGTGAATAGAGAGCTAATTGTAAAATTTCATTTTGTACCAAGTGCAAAGGCACCATCTTCCATCAGCAATTCTCAAATTTAAAAATGCACCTTTCAGATAGATCTTGAGAAAAATCATGGAATCAATGCAAATTCTTTAAATCTTTGAAAATCATTATTTCAGATTATTTTGGACAGCTTTTCTACTATGTAATTTAACTGAATACCAAACTATAATAACTTAAAATTTTTCTTCCTGGCAGCTGAACCTGCAAAAGATGCAGCTTCTGCTCACAGCTTGAATGCTAACAGAAGAAATTATGTGGATGGTCCATCTGGTTCTGACTTTGTAGCCAGGTAATGTCAGAGAACCACTAGCACTGTTTCACAATCTCCTTCTCTCTGTTCAAAATCAAACAGATTTTTTAATTGGTTTTTTTTTGCCTTTTTGTAAAGCTCAGTGATTGAGTTACCATATACAATCTGGAATTTTGTGCAGTATCCCATAGTTCATCCCTCCCTCCCTGCTGCATGGCAGGCTGCTTGTTTGTACACTGGGACAGTGCTGTTCTCTTAGCAGTGTCCAAAACAACCCTCAGCATTCAGCACATGGCCTTGTCCTCTTCAATTTCCAGTGCAGCTGCTGACCAGGTGTGCTCTGGAGAAGCTGCTTTTCTGGAATTCACAGCAAATTTTCCAAAAGTTATAACAAAACTAAACTGAGGTAACAGCAAGGAAAACCCTGAGTGATGGGTTTAGTTTGATTTGGTTATGTTACTATAGTACCATGAAATTCAATAGGTAAAAATAAATACTTATGCTGTGATTAATTTCCCCACCCAAACTGCCTCCTCATGGGGAGGAGAATTGGAAAGTGTAAACCTCACAAGATAAGAACAGTTTAATAATTTGAAACAAAATAAAATATTATGATAATAATAATAATTGTAATGAAAATGAGAGAGGGGAGTGACCCCCAGAAGAACAAGTGCTGCACAGTGCAATTGCTCCCTCCAGCAGCTCAGCCCCTCCCAGGCAGCTCCCCCAGCCCATGCTGGGCACAGCAGCCATGGTTTGCAGTGTCCCTGGGGCCAGCTCAGCTCAGCTGTCCTGGCCACGCTCCCTCCCAGCTCCTCCTGCACCTCCTGGCTGGCACGGGGCACAGAGGAGTCCTTGACTTAGAGAGAGCACAGTGAGCAACCACTGAAACACCAGAGTGTTATCAACAGTGCACTCACTGAATCCAAAACACAGCCCTGCACCAGCTACCAGCAAGAACATTCACTCTATTCCAGACAAAACCAAGACCATGTGAAACATTATTTTTGTTATTACTGGTACAGATTAGGAAGCAATATAGAAACATCCTGTTCCCTAATGTTCTGTGGCTGCTCATACATTAATTTCTCAAGGGAGACCTAATCACTCTCCACAACCACCTGAAAGAAGGCTGTAGACAGGTGGAGATTGGTCTCCTATCCCAAGGAAAAAGTAATAGGAGAAGAGGAAGCAGCCTTCATTTCCACTAGGAAAGGTTTAGATTGGATATTAGCAAAACTTTTGTTACCAAAACCAGCTGTCAAGCATTGGAACAGGCTGCCTGGAGAGTGATGGAGCCTCCATCCCTGGAAGTATTTAAGATGTGTGCATGTGGCACTTACAGACATGGTTTAGTGGTGGCCTTGGCAGGGCTAACAGTTGGACTTCATGATCTTAAAGGTCTTTTCCCACCTATTCTTTCTATGATAAGGGCCTTCTTTTTAATCCTTCTTAGGTCAAGGTAAAGAAAGCCTTCCAGTGATCTGATCTAGACCTAGTGAATGAGAGACAGCATTACAGTACATTTATAATTTTGGGGGTTTTATTTTGGTTTATTGAATGTATATAAACTGGCACACAGAAAAAGGATAAAATTAGCATTTAAATGAATATTTAGCAAATGGGTAATTTCCAATCCAGATAATCCTGTTTAGCCTTTTCTGTTGATTTTTTGATGGGTTTTTTGGAGAGAGGGGTGAGAGTTTGGTTGGGTTTGAGATTTAAGGTTCCTAAGTATATTTCTGGTGTTTCAGAATCTATGCTGACTTTAATAAGAAAGTAATATTTCTTACTGCCATTAAATTCTGGGATTCCAAATCCTTTCTCTGTATGTGTCCAAAGTGTGTTCCTCTTGTAGACAATGATTTTATTTTCATGTAGACTGAGCATATATGCCAGGAGAACAAGTTTTGAACACATCCTTTGAAGCAGGGGTTCCCAAGGCCATTTGCTGTAACTCTCCTCATAAACCAGGGTATTTCATCCAACCTGATGACACATCACTGCAGGACAAAGGAGGGGCCCAAAAAGTCATTTCAGATGGTTGGAATCCCATACACAGGCTGCAGGTTCCCTGACTGCAGCATGTTGTGTCCTGGCCTTCCTCCCTGTGCATTCCTGCCCTCTTGGGTGTTTGAGTTGCCATTTCAGTGCACAAAGACAGAAAAAAGGACCCCAGTTGGAAAAAGTGAATGTTCTTCTGCTGCCTTAGCCTGTTGGAGTGACTCAGAGCATGGGCTGGAGAGGCAGAGCCAGCAGAGGAGGGAGTGGGACTGTGGCAGTGTTACAGTGTCTGAGGTTGCCATGGAGCCCAGGCTTGGGGCCAGAATCAGTCTGTTCCCCAAGGAAAATTAAGTGTATAGATTCTCTTCATGGTAGCAAATTTTCACAGGCTGTGGGGTTAAATTTGGAAAGTATGCTTTTCTTTTAACATAACTTACAGACATTAGGATTTTAAAATTTTCACAGAAATCTTAAATGCCATTTAAAACAGACATGTCATGTAGCTAGCATGTAGTGTTATTGATACAAAAAATCAGGAATTTATGGGGATCTATATTGAATAATTTAATATATAGTTATGAAAGATGCTCTTGTAGATTGTCTTTTTCTTAAATTGATGTTAATATCCTTCTTGCAAATATTATTTAGAAACATTTCTACACTATACAGTTTATATAATATAATAACACTAGACAAATATTCTGAAAAAGTTGAGTTTGGGAGTGTCCTATTCAATTCAGTGGACAAAATTCAAACCATGAAAGGATTTAATCCAGCTTGTGTTTGAAGTCTGGCTTCTCTGGAAGTGTTTTACACACAAATCCATGTGTATTTATGCATGTGTCTTTGTTCTGATGGTGAAAAAGCACCTTAATCAAAACATTGAATTATGTTAATCCCATCCTGGATTAACACAGCTACTCAATTACAGACCTTCTCTGTAAACCAAACAAAGTATCTGTATAAGTAGAAACAGAGGAAATCTCTATAATTACTCCTTTTACTAGTGAATGTATTTTTTATTTATAAAGTCATGTCTATCACAAAGTCTTCTTTATCCACTTCTAGTGCATGTTGCAGTCCAGACACAAAGCAGAAGTTTTGAACTAAGCAACTGAAAATAGAAATGCATGGAAAGTATGTGATATTGGCTGCAATCACTCAGCTTTGAGGCCAGTAGGAGATGCCTCATTTTGCTCATGTCTGTTTTGACTTTTTACTGAAATCAAGCCTAAAAAATGGAACCTTCTAATAGAGACATTTGCATGAAATAAATCAGGAGACAAGTACATTAACAAAACTTATGCTGCAGGTCTGTAGCTGTTCATGTATGAAAAATACCTTTTTGACTTTTTGGTCCACCTGAATTAGTCCCAGTCCAAAGTTATTACAGTGTTCTCTTTTTAGTTGATAAATTAATATTTCCAGAAGAGAACTACACCTCACTTTCTTTCTCATCATAAAAATAAAATAAAATCTTGTCTTTGTCTTTGCCAACAACAGGGTGACTGGTTGGCCTTTGTATTGTGGCTTTTGATGTATTAATTCTTAGTTAATGTCTCTTGCTTTATAGATTGGAAAGTCCAGCTTACACACCCCCTCACCAACTGCATACACCCCAGCAGCCTTATTCATCTGTTCCAGGTAACAATTCACAAAGGGCTGGGAGAGGCAATGAGACAGGTGTTGTCCTCTGAGTAAATTGCTGTCCTGCTTGTATTTATTCAAACATCATTTATTAGAAATAGGGGGACACCTTTACATGAAAAATTAATGCATTTCCATAATTGATTTCTGTAATTTATAAAATGTACAAGTGGGAAGATTGTGTTTGTACCAAATGCATTGTGTGTGGTTTTTTAATTTGACTTCTGTTTTGATTATGTGGAAGATGGCTTACAACAAGCATTTATGGCATATTTTAGTAGGATTTGTATAATATTTTGCATATTAGTAAGTTCTTTGAGGGATGAGGGATAAAATACATATTCAGGATGAAATTGGCTTTATTTGTATTTTCACTTTTTTATTTGTAAATTTGTTTATTTATAAACACTTTTTTGCCATTGCAGTGTTCAAAATAGTGAAGCAGATAAATTTGTTAAAGCAGCAGAAGGTGATGTTAAAATCATTTTTTACAGTAGTTACATTGGGTCCTATTTTTGTTTCACTTAGGAGTCATCAGAAGGTCCACATCAATGTCTTATGTAGATGGGCAAGTAGGGACATGGCCCAAAGAGAAAAGGTAAGGAGTCTTACAAGCTGGTTTCAAAATACTGGATTTGGTTATGAGTAGTAGGAAATGCTCCATTGTAGTTTGGATTTCCAGTGTCCTGTAATGAGAATTCTTTAAGCTGCTTGAAAAATTAGAAAAAGAAAGATAAAACCATATCATGGATTAAAAACTGATTAATATGAAACAATCTTCAGAAGTAAATAATTTATTCTTTACACTAAAAGAGGTATACTTCAAATACTTGAATTGTTGGTGTTAACTATGTTCATATTTTCTCATCACAGTGATCTAAATGTGGTAACAGTAACATGGCTAATGATCTCAGTAGCATTTAAGCTTGTATTATTTTGGGAATGCTAAGAACAATCAGGCTGAATGTTTTGGTTTTCAGTTAGACCAGTCATAAACTCTTAATCTGTAGGGTACAAACCAAAGTTAAAATGGTAAGAGTTATAGTGGTGTGTAAACTGTGTCTTTTCACACCTTCCTTCTGATCTATGGTGGCCATTCCTATACTCCTAAAATGCCCAGAATTTATTCCAAAGTAGTAAAAAGCATTGTCTGAGTCTGAAGAAAATCTTGTTATATTCTATTCTATTGTGCTTTTTAAAAATTTATTAAACTTACATCTATTTATCCATCTAAAAACATATATCTAAAAATATATGTGTGTTTATTATATTTGAAGCTAGGCAAAATACACCTAACAGTGCCTTTAATACTTCCAGTTAAAATAATTTTAAAACCAAATACTAAGATTTTGTTATTTTTATTAATAACCATGAGTTGCTCAGTTACTTTTATTATTCTGATCTCTATTAGGTCATCATTACATGGAGTTTCATTTGACATTCCTTTTGACAAAGAGAAAAGCATTCCAGCATCTGCTCCAAGCAGAGGAATTCCTAGATCTGTGAGCAATGAAGGCCTTACAGGAAACATCAACCGTGTGCCGAAGCATTCTCGAAAAAATCTGTCCTTCAAACCAGTAAATGGAGAAGAGGAGAATCAAGACATTGAAGAGGAAAAGGACATGACAAAGGCCAATCAGCCTCTTAATGCAAATCAAAGAAATGCCAATGAGAGCAGACACTACAGGTTTCCAAATGGAGCTCTGCAAAACAGGGCAGTTCTGGATGATTTTGGCAATCAGATTGAGACGCCGAGCATTGAGGAGGCTTTGCAGATAATTCATGATACTGAAAAATCTCCCAGACTTCTCCAAACAGACCAAATTACAAATGGGTTCTTTCTTCACAATCGGGAAATGAGCATCTTGAATTCAAACATTAAACCCAATCAGACTACCCCAGATATCATCACAGACACTAAGGGTGCTCTGAGTCCTGTGACTGACAACACAGAGGTAGATACTGGAATACATGTCCCATCAGAAGATATCCCAGAGACAATGGATGAGGATTCTTCTTTGAGAGATTACACTGTAAGCATGGACTCTGACATGGAGGAACCATCTAAATTTCTCCAGGATTACGACATGCGGGCTAGCAATCACAGAGATCAATTAAGTCCCTGTCCCAGCTCAGTAAGTACTAAATCACAGGCAGGCAGCAGTGCTTCTTCCAGCTCAGGGGTTAAAATGACCAGCTTTGCTGAGCAGAAATTCAGGAAGCTGAATCACACAGATAGTAAAAGCAGTGGAAGCAGTTCTCAGAAAACCACACCAGAAGGTTCTGAGCTGAACATCCCTCATATGGTAGCTTGGGCTCACATTCCTGAGGAGGCATCTGTTCCTCAGGGAAGAGACACTACACAGTTACTGGCTTCTGAAATGGTACAGCTGAGGATGAAGCTAGAGGAAAAGAGGCGAGCCATTGAAGCACAGAAGAAGAAAGTTGAAGCTGCATTCACAAAGCAGCGGCAGAAAATGGGAAGAACAGCATTTCTCAATGTTGTGAAAAAGAAAGGGGATGGGGTATCACCTCTCCGAGAGGAAGCAGCAGGAGCTGAAGATGAGAAGGTATTCACTGACAGCAATCGGTTGAAAGAAAAAGAAACTCAAAAATCAGATGACCAAACTAGTAAGACTTCAGAATTAATAAAAGAAAACCCAGAAAATTCTCATAGCAAATGGTTAAAATCTCCTGCTACTTCTGGGGATGCTGAAAAGCAATGGAATTTAGCAAGCCCCTCAGAAGAAAATCTTAATGATGGAGATCTCTTAGAATATACAAAATCTATTGAAAAACTGAACTCTTCCCTACACTTTCTACAGCAAGAAATGCAACGTCTATCCCTTCAGCAGGAGATGCTGATGCAGATGAGAGAGCAACAGGCTTGGGTTATTTCTCCTCCTCAGCCTTCTCCTCAGAAGCAGATTCGGGACTTTAAGTCTTCTTCAAGGCAAGGGGGAACTCCAGCTCCTGTTGCACCTTTCTCACAGGACTCTCCTCGCTCTACACATCAATCTCCACAATCTTCCAACAGGAAGAATGCCTCTTTTCACATTAAAATGCAAAGGACTCCTAGGCCAAATGAGCTGAAAATAACGCCTCTAAACCGTACCTTGACTGCGCCACGCTCTGTGGACAGCCTTCCCCGTCTGAGGAGGTTTTCCCCCAGTCAGGTTCCCATTCAGACCAGATCGTTTGTTTGCTTTGGAGATGATGGTGAACATGTAAGCGAACCTCAGTTAAAGGGAAATCTTTCGAAAGAAGTCAAGCCTACAGAAGAGGTAGCAAAAGAAGAAGGACCAAAATTGCCAAAACAGGGTGAGCAGAAGTTGGAGGAAAAGGAGATTAAGCCTATTGAATCTAATGTTTCTGAAGTGTTATCTCAGCCTATCACAGAAACCGTCTGCCTCACCCCAAATGAAGATCAGCTAAACCAACCCATTTTACCACCTCCAGCTCCCAAAACAGCTAACTTAATTGAAGTTTCCCTATCAGATTTGAAGCCACCAGAAAAAAGTGAGGTATCTGTTGAGAAATACGAAGGTGAGAGTGATAGAGAACAGTTTGAAGATGACCAGAAAGTATGTTGTGGATTCTTTTTTAAGGTAAGAGAACTAGTGGATGTGGATGTCAGCTTTAAGCTTTGTTTAAATCTTTAATTGAAACGTGGATGTTGCTGATGATTGAAGTCAAAGCAGATAGTATTGCAACTCTAAATGTGCAGGCTTATCTTCTGGACTTGATTAATTTGGCATAATAGGAGTGGTGAGAGTCATATTGCAGTTCTGAGCATGTCAGAGTATCCCTTTCCATGCATAGTTATGGAAGAGTTCTTGGAGGTCTTGGTGAGGAAGATCCATGCTGAATGTAGATTTTTTTTAAGCTATGTTTTGGTGATCTTGATTAAGTGTGCTCACATCTCACCGTCACTTCCTCACCTCACTCCCAAATTTAACTGAAAGCTTTTGAAGTACATAACAGCCTGCATTTTTAAAAATTATTCACATTTTTGAATTGCACTTTGGAGAGCCTTTTTTCCTCTCTCAGCTGGCTAAGGATGTATAAGTCTGCTGAGACTCCCTTTTGAAGTTTCTATTTGGGAGCACTTCTTGGAAACTTTTTATTAAAGAGCTGTATTCAGACAGGCTTTTAACTATTATGCATATTGTAAGACAGTGGTCTAGACTTATTTCCATCTTAGAATACCCCAACATTTTGTATCGTGTATCTAGATGGACCTAGCTTGTCTGGAAACATTCCTCAGTTCTACCAACACACCTGGCTTGCTCAGAAGTTACTTTTATATGATGCATAATTATTGGGGTTTGTGATAATTACCTTCATGTCCATACATGTAGACTCTTCCAAAGCTGAAAGAAGAAGTTTATGCTATGTGGGATCTGACTCAAAACTAAAATATCTCACTTAGCAAGTTTTCTCATATCAATGTGGAATTTTGTTTGACTCAGGAAGGAAAAATTCCACTATGAAGTTTTTAAGAGTCTTACGAAAAACCTTCAAAAATAAACCTATTCCAAATACTGCAAGAGTATATTAGGATACCCAGTGTACAGAATTAAGTGTCTAATGACTTAGCAAAATCAGTTGCTGAATTTAGAGATCTTAATATTTTTGGTCCTTTTCCTTCACAAACGGTTGCTAGGATGATCAAAAGGCAGAAAATGATATGGCAATGAAACGAGCAGCGTTGTTGGAGAAGCGTTTGAGAAGGGAAAGAGAGACTTTGCTTCGAAAGCAGCAGCTGGAAGCAGAACTAGAACATAAGAAGGAAGAGACAAGGTAAAACTACATGTCCTAATTCAATGATCAGTAATGGTGAACATAAAAATGTCTTCTTTAGTTAAAAGTGTAACCTGCATGTCAAAGAATTGCATCTTAATATCCAAGTTCTTTGCTGCTAGAGCCAGATGTGCAGAGGAGCCCAGCTGGCCCTGCAGGACAGCAGGTGGCATCAGTCTGTAGTTCTCCCAGGCTGGGAGCTGTGCTGGCCTGAGCACAGCTTCTTCACAGCTCTTCCTTCTGCACAAATGCACAATGTTCACTCACTTACAACAATGAAGCTCATCAACCTGTGTTTGGTTCTATTAGTAGCAATATCCTCAAAAGTTTTAACTCCCTGAAAATTGTAAAAATATTTAAAAGCAATTGTCTCTTACTGGTGTTTGAGAACATTGAAGTTCCAAAAATCTACTGCCTGTGTTGTCCTCACTGTGCTAGCTGAAATCCCTTATTTGGAAAGCTTCTAGTGCTGAATTTTTTTGGTCATTTTTTAGACGCAAAACAGAAGAAGAACGTCAGAAGAAGGAGGATGAACGAGCACGGCGAGAATTTATTAAGCAGGAATACATGAGAAGGAAACAACTAAAGCTTATGGAAGACATGGATACTGTCATAAAGCCACGTTCCCTCTCAATCAAACAGAAAAAGCCACGTCCAAAATCTATTCACAGAGATCATATTGAATCACCTAAGACACCAATCAAAGGTCCACCAGGTAACAAATGTTTCCATGGAAAAAGAGTCTGTTCATGCTGAAACACCAGCTTGGGTTTTGGTCCTAACAAGCACGGGCATTTATGAGTCTTGTGCTACATTAAAACTGCACATGTCCAAACTGGAAAGCAAAATTTGGCATAGAAATGGAAAGATGAATGTCACTTACCTGCTATGCATGCATGCATATATAAACAAACAAAAATGTTAGCTCTGAAACCCCAATGGAGGGATGAATATGTGTTGCAAGTTTCATGCACACCCATGTTTTCTTCACTAATCTCTTCTTGCACCTGTAGAGCTAAGAATGAATAAAAGTTGGGAGATAAGGGATCAATAAATAAAATGGTGACCATAAGGTAAGAATACTTAAACTCACACAATATGGACAAAATTAAAACTTGACAGTTACTTTTAAATTTCATGGTTTTTTTCCATTTTGCTCACCAGCTGCATGTATAGTTAAGAACATAGCAACACTAACCATGTGGAATAACTTAGCATTCTTTTAGATACAACAGAACTTGCAGTAGTGGCTGGAAGAAGTATTATCAATTTACAATTAGAAAAAAATAACCAGATTGCTCAGTGATCCTTTTTGTTACAGCCTCCTCTACCCTTGTTGTTGTGCTGTGTTTTCTCTGGCTGCTTCCCTCTGTCTTCCAGTGTAATTTAAAGTATTTCCTTAAGACCTTCCAAGAATCCATCCCAAGCTTTAAATTAAGTCTCTTAAGCTCTCTTTCAAGAGGACTTACTAACTCTAATTGCATCCTTTGATTTGCATAGTGCCAATATTGCCATGTTCATGCTTCCCATTAGTGCTTAGCCTGAGCCCATCCCCAGTGGCTGCCCAAGGCTGGGTGGCAGCAGGTGTTTACAGGAAGTGCAGCACATATGCATGCAGGTATATCATGTAGAAAAGCTCTTACTGACTTTCAGATGCTGGTGTTGGTCTGATGAACAGACTCTCCTACTTGCATAGGTTTATAAGCTTTAACTTTGTTTTTATCCAGGTTCACAGCTTTATCGTGTTTTTTCAGTATCTAGTCTTTCATTGGCATCGCTGAATACAGGGGACAATGAGAGTGTGCAGTCAGGCAAGAGAACACCAAGGTAAAGCTAAAATAACCATTTCATGTAATAAAATTTTGTAATCAGCTGTGTAAACCTAGCATGAATTTTTTAGAGGTCATGTATATACTGTGTACTCTGAGAACAGGTATGTTTTCCTCATTTGAGACGTGGATAGTTTCCACTGTCAGACATTCGGGAACCAAGCCATTGTCATTTGTTTTGCAAATTGTACCAAGTAAACCAGTTGGGCAGGTATAAATGAGGTTAAAACAAAATGCTGTTCACACAGCTTCTTTAATTCACCTGCTTGTATCTAAGTCTCAACCTATGGGTATTTTGCTAAACCTGTATGCTACATGCAACTACATAGCTGCTTTTCTTTTTTTAACATAGAAGTTTATTTTCTGTTTGGTTTTTTTCTTTAGCAGTTGTACAGGTAATTATTGAATGCTCACAAGGACTTCAGCCTTTTCCAAACATCAGAATTTATTTTGCATTAAAAACCACCTGAAAATAACAGAAAAAAATAGTATTTTTTAATACAAACCCCATATTATCATTCAGAGGAAAATCACTATTTCTGTGAACTATTTGATAATATTCAGACAAATACTATTTTCTTTGTATAAAAAAAAGAAAAAGTGAAGAGAAGCAAACTAGGAGAAGGGGGTTGATAAGGAGTACTACATTTTCTGATATTGCCTGTTGTGTCTTCATGGCCACTATGCATTATTCATCAGCTCTGACAAACCTGCAGCTGCCTTCAGTTTACTTCTCAATTACCTTGATGTCTCAAGAACTGACTTTCCAGTTATTACATAAGAAGCTTTCATTAATAATTCAATTAGCCTAATATCTCTTGTCATCTCTTAAAAATTAGCAGTTTTAATTGAGAGGGGGATTTCTTCCAGAGATATTAGCTATTACAAAAGGCTTGATGTTGTTCATCTACACAGGCTTTGCAGGAGATAATCCCTGTGTATGAAGCTGGAGTTGTGCAGGCTGTACTATGCTTTTAATGAGCTGTACATCTTCCTCAGGCTTTGGATTTGTTTAGGGGATTGAGATTTTTAAAACATTATAAAAGCAACAGAGTTGAAAGAATTTTCAGTAACTTTCCAAACCCATATTGTCATCTTGTCCTCACATCACCATTGTTTTTGATGGTCCCACTGAGAGAATCTCAGTGATACATTTGTCACCTTCTTCATGGAGGTGCTAATCACAAAAGGTGCAGGATATATTATAAATTGAATTTTCATCTGTTGCTGATTTTACTGAAAATGAGCATGCACACAAATTTTGATATTATATTGCTTTTTATTCTGTGCCTTTTTCTCACTTAAAAAACTTTCATTCTAAGCTGCAAATTTGACTGGCTTTTGCAGTGGCCACAATCAAAACATTTTCAATATCTTGTAATAATTTAAGAAAACTTGACAATCTTGTTTAGACCTTTAAATGCAAAATTATCCACATTTGAGTGCAGTCTGAAGAATTACAGCACCAGAAGTTATTGTCTGTGAAAACAAAAACTAGAAGGGATATTGTTTTGCTGTCTTAAATTCAGCAGTTCCTGCTGACAGTTGTTGCAGTCATGAGTATAAATTAACTGAATTTTTACTTCGTATTCATTATTCTATCAAGAACTGGTTTGTTCACTACATGAGATAACATTGATTTGCCAGTACATGTTAAAAGTAACACAAATTTCCACTTAGTAATTCTATTTCACAACCAAGAACATCTATTAGGTTTCTGTCCCTCAGATAGCCCAAAAATTAACATATATCTCACCAAAAGACCAACTTCTTGCATCACTCAAAACACATTAAATATTGTGCATTTAGGTTTATAGTTTATAATGCAAATCATTGTGTTCTACCTTGCCTTCTTTCCATATCAGAAGGCTTCCCAGCTGAACAATGTGAATTTTTTTAATAGATTTTAAAATTAATGTTTAGGTCTGAATCTGTGGAAGGATTTTTATCCCCAAGTCGCTGCGGGAGTCGTAATGGAGAAAAAGATTGGGAAAATGCATCTACAACTTCTTCAGTTGCCTCTGCTACAGAATACACAGGTCAGTGGCAACAAGGGTCAGAAAAGTACCTTCCTATTGGTGGTTCTATGCATGAAAAGTTTTCAGTTACCTTGATTTGGTTTCCTAAAACTTGATTGAGTTTTACCCTTCAAAGTAGAGGCTAATAATACAAGGTTAACATTTTAAATCCAAAATAAAAGTACTGACTCAATAGCATTTGTGATAACCACAATAAACTGCAGTCAGGCTCAGAACAGCACATGGGCTCATCATTCTGTACTTCAGTGTCTCTAGCAAGGCATAAAGTGTTGATATTTCAACTCAGTTTAGAACAGAGGTACAAAATTCAAAAACCAAATTGCAGCAGCAAAAAGTCTTCTTAGCAATGCAAATATAAAATTGTGCACTATTTTTCTCCTAACAGATGTTTTGTTGTTTATTAAGAACTTTATGATCAGACTACTCATTCTTTTTTATATTATGAATCAAATAATAATGGTATTTTCCTCCCTTTTCTCTAACTATACCACACATGATACTGCCAAGACCTTGCATCATCAGCCTTATAAAAGCTCCACTTTTGCCAACCTAATATCACATTGTTTGTGAGAAGAGTAGCATGAGGTTAGGTATTTTCTAGGGTTTCTTTCCCCAAAGCTTAGACAAACAGATTTAATCTTAAATTACTTGATGCTTGCACATTATTTTCCTAATTGGTAATCATGTGTTGGGTTTTTTAAATGGACTTGACCCAAGTACACAGACATTTCAGAAATTAAACCAGGAGATTTCTCCTTCAACCAGATGAATCATGTTACAGACAGAATAACCTGTCAAGTGTAAGGCCAGATCTTTTATCCCTGGTTCTGGGTAAAACATTTCTGGAATTGCAAAGAGGACAGGCAACAGTTACTCTAAGCACTGCATATGCCTCATTGTTATACCTCACACCCTTGAAATCACAGGTGTAGGGAAAGAAAAAGACTTTGCTCTCTCCTGGACAACTGAAATTTTGTTTAGAAAAAGCAAAAGAAAAGGTCCCCTGAGAGAAAAAAAATTACCAAGGCTGCCAATAATAATGATTTAATAATGAAAGACACATTTGTAAGTAAATTCAGTGACAGCTGAATGACATCTTACTTGTTTGTGAATTTTGTGGCCTCTAACCTTTTTCTGTCTTATTCCTGGATTTGTGTTTCTATGTGTGCAAAAGTTCCACACCAGAAGTGCTTCACAGCATTCAAAGTAACTCTTTGTTGGTTTATTGATTAATTTACCTTATTTGCTGTTCCTTTTGCATAGGACCAAAGCTCTTCAAGGAACCCAGTGCTAAATCAAATAAGTATATAATTCAGAATGCACTGGCACATTGCTGCCTGGCTGGAAAAGTGAATGAAGGTCAAAAGAAAAAGATTCTGGAGGTAAGAATATTTTTCCCCTAAAAGCACAAATACCTACATCAAACCAAAGTCAAGCATTATGGAGACTCTAGACCATAAATGCAGACACCGAAAGGAAACCTTAGAGATGATGGCAGCAGTCAGTGAAGGGATTGAGTCATTTCTGTGACTTGCTTCCTGTGTAGGCAGAAAGGTTCTCCAGTGCTGGAGAAACAAGAGCACAGCACAGGGAGCTGAATTAATTCCCATGCTTAAATAATAGTTATTGCTTGTTTTATGGAGGAACTGCAATATCTAGGCTTTCATAATTTACTCACTAAGTTGTTTTCCTGATACAGGGAGATCCTCAGGTTGGGAACTTTAGAACTAAAGCACAGGGCCCTCATGAACAGAAAGAATGAAATACAGATGAACAGAAAGAATTGAAATACATCCCTTCTAGGCTCTTCTCCAGTTTCCAAGCAGTAGGGCAAATTCAGGGCTTTCTACTATGGGAAGGTGCCTTCAAGTCTTCTCTCTTACACTGCTATAAACCTTCTTGAAAATGCACAGATATTGTAAAAACTTAGGGACATTGTGTTCCCAGGCAAAAGAAGTAACACAGAGTCTGAGCCTTGAGAGAGCAGGACTGTTCCATTTACAAACTATGACGAATACAACAGATTAACTGATACCAAATCTCACAGACACTTGGAATCCAGATTGAATTTCATTTCTGGAATAAACTTCACAGCAGTATTTCTTGCCCCTTCTTCTCTTCGTAATCCTGCATCCATGTCTAGATGCTGCTTTTTCTGCCTTTCCTGACACTTTTTGGAAATACCAAGTCAGGAATCAGCACACACTCCTGCAGTTTAAGTAACTGGGAGCAAAAGGACTCTCAGAATGACCCATAACAAAATAGGTGCACAAATGTCCTGCTTAACTCAAGGATGAAGCACACATCACTTGATAGAAGCTGTTAGTGTTCAGGGAGGGCATGTGTCCCATAGAATGTCTGTAGGTGGAATAGGAATCTGAAGATTTCAGCTAATTAAGAACTTCTGTTCAATACATTCCAACTGACTTCATGGTTTGACCAAGCTTGAGTGGATTTAGGGATGACTGAAATTCCATTTTAGCACCAGAAGATCTTTCAGACACATTGAGACATGTTTTTTGTTCCCAAACTTGCAGGTATTAAACCAACTTAATGAAATAGATGATGAAAAGAATTTTTATTTGGTCTACAAAAAGACTTTTGGGATGTCTGTTCTTGAGGTACAACTAAACAAGTATAGCTGAAATTGTCTAAATAAATTCGGTTTTGGTTAACATGAATATCTACCCTATCAAAATTCAGATGGGTGAAGTTAGCAAATTCTAATGATTGAAAATAAGGTCTTTTCGTGGACAGAGTGAGACATAAGTTTCAGCTCTGATAGAAAACTGAATCAAAATTAAATCTAATTAATGGAAATGTTTTCTAATTACAATGCAAAATTCATATTCTGAATGTTTTTCTTTCTTTTTTTCTTTTAAAGGAAATGGAAAAATCTGATGCCAATAATTTCTTAATCTTGTTCCGGGATTCAGGCTGCCAGTTCAGATCTCTGTATACATACTGCCCTGATACTGAAGAAATCAATAAATTAACAGGAATAGGTCCCAAGTCTATCACAAAGAAAATGATAGAGGGACTGTATAAATACAACTCTGACAGAAAGCAATTTAGCCACATACCTGCCAAAACTCTGTCTGCCAGTGTTGATGCAATTACCATTCACAGCCATTTGTGGCAAACCAAGAGACCAGTAACTCCTAAGAAACTCTTACCCACCAAGGCATAGTAGATGGGAAAAATTTGCTTGAGACAATTATGATAAACTTGCACTTCATCTTTACTGCCTATAGGAAATAGATTTCTAGTTGCCAACAAGACTCTTAGAACTTAAAACTGGACACCAAGTTCTATTATCATGTCCAACTGGAATGTAAACACAGTGTTTAGGAGTGCAGAAGATAACTCTTAGGTGAATAATTATGAGTGATTACGGAAATGTTTGACTTGTGTGGAGATTTGTATGTGCTAATGCAACATATAGAGTATATTTGCTCTGTATTTTGATTAGATACACTGAAGCACTGAATGTTCCTCTTTAGTGACTCAAACTACATTTTTTACATCTGTTGCCTTATATGTTTGTATTTGTGCTTGTCTTGAAATATTTTTCTTTCACTAAAGAAAAACTTAATATTCTCAATACCATTGAACTTTGCATACTGACTTACAGTAAAGACTAAATGATAAATTGTATGTCACTGAATAACAGCTGAATGGGTCTGTTCTCCAAGATCCTTACTGTGTGCTGTAACAAAATCAAGATTCATTCCCCTGTGTATTTATAATTCTTTTTCAATTCAATAGTACTGATTTGCTTATAAACTAAACAGTAAAGGAAAAACCTTTGAACTGCTTGAAGTTTTCTTCAAATGAATTATTTAACAACTCAGGGTAAAGGTGATGCAATTATTTCTGTTTCAGTAAGTTACCATCTGAGATGTAATGACTGACCATGTGCATGTTCATAACATCAGTAAAACTCAAGGTAAAAAGATTTGGTAGGTCTCTGAAATGGTTTAAGCAAGTATGCATTCATTGCTTTGCACTGTTCCAGCTGGAGAGAGAGCACAGGGTCAGGTCCTGCTCCTTCCTTGAAGGAGCAGGAACTCATGAAACATTCAGAACTAAATCCCTGATGTTGCCTAACAGAGCACTAAATATTCAGAAGAATCACAGAATTCACTAAGTCACAAATCTTTGAGAAGTCGTGTATCTAATTCCCATTGATTTTAAGATCCAGGCCACTTCCTGCCTTCAGATCTGCCAACTCAGACTTGAATCAGTTTTCTAGGGAACAGACATCTGATAATTTTCAGTGTGTCTTTGTAAATTGTTTTCTTGACACTAACAGGTGATGTGTTGTGACACAGCAATTTTTAAGTACATATGACAAAAAAGCCTAACTGACATTTCAGTAAATCTGTAACATGACCATTTGCAAAACCAAACTCTAGGCATATTTCAGTATTATTTATAAAGGGCTGCATTTTATTTCAAAACAGTGTTTGATTATTTTATAATCACTATCCCGTTTCAGTGTTTGTTTCTCTTATAATTTGCTTTTAACATAGCACTGTTCTGAAAAAAAAAAAAGAAAACACAAACTTGAAGCCTCCCCTAAATCTGTGGCTATTTTGATAACATCGTACACCAGAGAATTTGTTGGGGGGGAGGGAAATCTCATTCTCAGGAAAAGACTTGAATGATTTGTGATTCTGTTCTGTTTCAGTGTTGTGACAACTCCATTCACATAAGACAGTATTGTGCTATGAGTATGTAGTCCATTCAGTTTCATGGGAGACTAAAATGATATTCGTATTTCTCTCATTGAACTGCTGTGAGAGAAACTGCCTCACTACTACGATGTGCTCATTTACTAAGAGAAAAGATGCACAGGAATGAGATGTCATTAAGCAGTTTAGAACAGTACTTTTTTAAATTATTATAAGGCCTTAGGCATCAGTGCATCTGGATTATAAACATTTTCTCAAAAATGCTGTCAGTTTACTGTAATTTATGTTCTTATATTTATGTATATTTGTTAAAACTGTAAAAAAAAAGAAAAAAACACTTTAAAATATATGTTTAATATGTATGTGGCTCAAAACTATTTGTGGTTAGCTGATTCCTACTGTTTGCATGTATATCACCAGGATATGTAACTCTTATAATTCAAGTGTATACATATTGTGTATATAGGATATAAATAATATTAAAAAGGGGGGGAAAGAGGGTTTGCACATTCTGCCTGTTAGACACTTCCTACAGATACCATTGTAGGAACATCTTGAATAACAATATGAAACTGTGTATAATATACAGTGATTCAAGAAACCAGGAGGTTGGAATTAACTGACACACATATGGTGAATAACTTCAAAAGAAGTTTTATCATGGGAGGCTTTTTATTTCTAAAATCTGTTCTATGATTTAACTGAAGATTTGCAACACCATAAAGACACACGCATCAACCTAATCAAAGTGAGCTTAAATACGTGACGGGAATTCTTTGAGTAATTTAAAATATTTCTGAATGTATTATGAAATTTGCATTTGTCAACAGGTTAAAGGTTTGTGCAATGTCTAAAAGTAGAATGTGAATAATGCAGTTGAAAATTTCATTGCTCGCAGTATAAGGTTTTACTTAATACAGGAAAAGTAAAGCTAGAGATGCTTTTCCTTTTTAAGCCTGCAAATTTTCTAATTACAGTGGATCTTTGGTTGGGATCATGTTTAAAAAAAAAAAAAGAAAAAGAAAAAAAAAAATAAAGCTTTCCATAAAGGCCAGTATTTATCACTGACCTTTCCAGAACACACTGGTGCTTTCATCAGGGGTATTACTATTGTTGCTACGACTGAATTGCCAAACTCTCGTCTTAGTTTTTGGAGCAGAATTTCATCTTCTAACAGTCATAATAGCTACTGAATTTTATTTTTTTTTTAATGTTAGTATGACTGTTAGTTTTTATTATTTGGCTGTTTAAAGCCAAATTCAGCTATTTAATTCTGATTTATTGGGCACTGTTGAAAATTGTACAGTGTATTGTGTGCTTACTTGTCCACTTCTATGGAGCATAGCTTCCATATTTTTTCAAATGCTGTGCTGTAAAATATTGTCATTGCTACTTATGTGGTACAGTGTAGTTTTTTCCTTTCATTTAAATAAAAGCATGGCACCAAAATAACATTTTTTGTTTTCTTGCTTACCTCTAAATAGAAACTAAAATTATTAAATGTTGACATTAAAGTATAAATCTTGTTTCTTCTCGTATTTCAGCAATGTGGAAATTGTAGGAAATATTATGCATGATTACAATTTCTTCTTTTATTTACCATCTTTGGCCATACTTCCATAGATAATCTCGATTTCTGATGTTATCAGAGGAAGGCTATTGAATAATTGAATAGGCTTCATATTTCATTTGTGAGGACAACAAGGTGTTACCCTGTTCTCTTCAGAAGTGAATTTCACAATTTTAAGTCATTTATAAACTTTGGGGCTCTGGTTAGCTTCCATTTTTCCAAAGCCACACAAACTTACTGGTCAGGTTAAAAGGTTTGCTTCAGACTGAAAGGTTGTCAAGGTGAAGTCTTACCTTTGTCAAGGTACTGTATAAAGCACATGTGTGACTTGTAGTGAAACAGTTTGTACTTGCTAGTGAGGCTATCTTGAACAGAACACTATCCAAAAAATGAGGGGCCTTTTCCAGATTTGTAAACTAGTAATTTTTCTAGTCCAAATCATGCCTTGTTTGGAGCTTTGTGTTCTTCTGCTGGGTTGCAGAGTAAGAGCAAGGATTTGCTGAAAGTGGCCATGACATCCCTGCACTGTCAACAGGCAGACTGAGCTGCTGGGCTAACTTACACAGATAAAGAATCTCAGAATTGCAGAGCTGTTTGAAGGGCAACTTCAAGAATACCAGCAATCTGACAGTAGTGCTTTTGATGCTGAATTGAAAGCTACTGTGGAAGAAAATGAGTAGCTTTCCCTCCTCCCCCTGAGAACTGGTTCTTTTTCAGGCAGCTCAGTCAGTTCCCTGTACAGCATCACAACAAGGCTGACACAAGCAAGGAATTATATTGCACCACAAACACACAGTTGCACCCAGTAAAGCTATTTTTTCAGTGGTGAGCCCAGCTCAAAATTTTTATCTAAAAACAGCCTTTGTACAGATCTGCTTTAGAACAGACTTTCTTTTTTTCTATCTTTTGGCAAATAACACCATCCCTGAGAAACTTCAGCTCATGCCCCGGTTAATTTGACATAATATGACTGTGCTGTGTGCCTCAATTTGTACAGAATTTCTGATTCAAAATTTGTGCTGCTGTGGGATCCAGTGTAGAGAGTTATGCTTGAACAGCTGATTTTGGATCGATTGCCATAAAAATATGATGCAAAAAATAGCTTTGTTTCTCAAATTCAGCTGTATTGAATCAGATCGATGTCAGATGTCTTTTTTCCAACAATTTATTAAAAAAGGCACAGGGCTAAACTTTAAACATTTAGATCTCTTCAAATAGCAAATGAGCATTTCTTTGCTGCCTTGCTACTAATTTAATGAGCTGAATAAGCAGCTTGAAGAATTGTGGCTATAAAGATTTATCTTGACAGTCACAGCCCTTTACAGCTCCTTTTACATTTTCTGGTTAAATAAATGAAAAACAACAAAAGGAAAAAGTCTCCTATAAACTCTCTTATTCCAGGTGTAAATGGCAGGGGGAAAATATATATTTAACATGTACATCTTTGTACATTTATGAGAAATTTATTTTTAAAAGCAATCTGTTCCATTTAGGGAAAAATATATTTGATGTGTGTTTGTATATGCGTACGTACAAATGCACATTTACCTTCAGACTTACTTGCTTACGTACAGAATAAAGAATACATCTTTTATTTAGACAACTACAGCAATGAGTCAAACAAGGTAGGGAAGTTACTCCAGCTTATTTCCTTCTACCAAGAAAGAAAAGCAGCTCTTAAACTCGAAACCACTGCTGTAAGAGGCAAGGAAATCATCTACAACATGCACATTTCAGTACAAAGTCTTTGGGAGAGGGAGTCTTTTAATCAAATTTCTGAATTCAAGGATAACACTGATGGTTGCTAGACAGAACTGCTACTGATCAGAAGAGCTATTAACCATCAGGATTCAAGAAAGGGCAGAAAACACACAAATAAGGTAAGCATTCACTGAAAAAAAGTTACTTAAAACTTTCTTCAGACTCCTATTCAACATTACAAACAACTTGACGTGTAAAATGCTTAGGGGTAAATAAAGATTTAAATATCCACTGACAAATTTGTCTAAGCAAGATACTAAACGATTTTTTTCACACGTGTTTAAGTTTGCAGATCATGGTATGTGAACTTCATGGGGACGTACTAAGTAATATCTGTACGTACTTTTATGTCACAGTTAATGGAGCTTTGCAGAAAGACTAAAAGCTAATATAGAGCTTTCCATCACAGCAGCTCTGTCTTATTATTTCTTCATCATCACTGATCTAAATGTCTGCAGTACAAGACCTGGCAAGGCCCCACAAGCCTGCAATTATTTCAATTACTTGAAGCCAGATTATACTTTGGCTCAGTATTTTTCTTGTTTAAGCCACCTGAAACTGGAGCTATGGTGCTGACATAAAGAATTCTATAGATTATGCAAGAATTCTGCTGAATTGTCACCTCAAAGTTGTGGAATTCCTTTCTTGAAATGAGTAAAAACTGTTTCAGAATAGAGTTTTGAACAGAATTTCTTTTTAAGTTTTTACAAGAACATGTAAATCTAAAATGTAAGGAGTTGAATGGCTCTGTTACAAGTACAGAAAATCGAGATTGGCCCATTTTTAGGGCCAACACACAGAATCAGCTGAATTGGAGGGGACTCACAAGGATCACTTGTCTGCATCCTGCACAGGTCTGTCCCCAAGAATCACAGGCTGTGCCTGAGGGCATTGTCCAAACACTTGCTGAGCTCTGTCAGGCTGCTGCTGTGAGCACTGCCCTGGGCAGCCTGTTCAGTGCCCAGCCACCCTCTGGGTTAAAAACCTTTTCCTGATACATAACCTAAACCTCCCCTGATGCAAATTCAGGCCGTTCCCTCGGGTCCTGCCACTGCCACCCCAGAGAAGATGTCAGTGCCCGTCGCTCCTGTTCCCTGGCTGGGAAGCTGTGACTGCAGTGAGGTCTCCCCTCAGCCTTCTCTCCTCCAGGCTGAGCAGCCCAAGTGCCCTCAGCCAGTGCTCATGGCTTCCCCTCAGGGCCCTTCACCATCCTCGGGGCCTCCTTTGGACGCTGTCTGATGGCTCAATGTCTGTTCCACGCTGTGGCACCCAGAGCTGCCCCAGAGCAGAGCGGGACAACCCCTCCCTTGCCCGGCTGGCTGTGCTGTCCCTGGTGCCCCCAGGACAGGGATGTCCCTGCTGGCTGCCAGGGCACTCCTGGCTCGTGTCCAACTTGCCATGGACCAGGACCCCCAGGGCCCTTTCCACAGTGCTGCTCTCCAGCCTCTCATTTCTCACCTGCAACATTTGTAGAGCAGTCACACAATTACTGTTTTCTTTCCTGAAGTGCTCCAAGCACAGACTGCAGCGCCCTGTTTTGTCACTAGGCAATGCAGATCTCCTCCTCCACTAATCCTGATTTTCAAGCTCTCTAACACCCACACCCAAAAGCTTTGCTGTTCGTGGGAGTTACCTTCTTTGCAGTAATGAGTAGGGAGTTCAAAGCAAGCTGAGACCATCCCAAACACGTTTCTATGCTTAAATAAAGATTTGCGAACAACAAGAGAATAAGACCTTCCATCAGCTCTCTTCCCATAGAATGCTAATATATGTATCTTCACCAAAACTTAAAATTGGTATGATTGCCCCCCAAAGCAGGGCCACCCACTACTGCTACCTATTCTTCCATACTTCTTCCTAATAGTTCTTGAAATCTCTTTCCAGAGTATAGGAATTTGCTGCTTATCTGTGAAAGATCTAATATTCTGAGCAGGAAACAGAGTAATTTAAAATTCATAATTTTCCTTTCAGGTCCAAGTGGAAAGAAGCTTTATCTTTCTAGGCATCCAGAGATAGTCTCACAGATTTGTCTCAGGACCTCCACTGAAAACAAAGCAACTTCACAAAAGATAAGTAAACTACTGTAAAACCACTCTAAAATCAAGATTAAATTTAAAAGCCTACGTGTGTTTACCTAGAATTTTGTAGGTTAAACAAAGTTTTAAATGGACTTTTTGTATCTATGCTTAGTAAAGTTCTACATACCTCTCAGTTTAGACAATTAAAGTCATCTTGTTATTACACATTCCTCCTGGTTTTTATCATCTCTGCTGTATCATATGTAATGGAAAACAGTTTCATTTCTATAATTATTAGAATTTTCTCTTAAGCAGCACCTCCAAAGGCAACTAAGCAATAAATAGTTTGGAGGTAAATAGAAGTATTCAATGCTTTACCAGCAAATCTATATTCCTGGGAAGTGAAGCTGGGACTTGAACAAAAGGAACCATCAAGTTCCACGTGCATGTGTGGAACAGTCTGAACATGCCTGGCAGAGTCACTGCTGTGCAACCAGGCACACTCCTCTCTGGACAGCCTTTGGGGCATTTGTTTGTATTCCTCTTCAGACAGAAAAGACAAAAAATAACACAGTTCCCCTCTGCCCTTCAGCAGATCCTCAGCAAAACAGCTAGTACATAGACTTGACCTCACTGATATTTTGTGAATGTGACAGAGAATCCTGTCCAGCTTCAGTCAACAAATCCCCGACAACCTTCCATGGGTCTCTGATGCATGGTACGCATGCCTAATTTTAAAAAAAGCCAATAAATTCAAAAACCACGCATCAGATTCTCAGAAAATTGCCACATCTCCATTTTGACAGGGCCTGCCAGTGCACTGCAGTGTATTCACAAGCACTCTGTCCAAGTGCTGTACTTGCATTTTAACAACTCACCACTACATATAAACACAGAGCAAGTCACCATAATGGCTCCGAGGTGCCATAATTTTTTGACGATTACAAAAATGTAAGTCAATTGTAAAGTCAAATTATACATGAATACATCTTCATAAAACATAGGTATCCTACAGATATACATAAGACTTCTGTAGAGAATGCGTGCTTTGCTCAACACCTCGAGAAGCAGATGACAGCATAAGCACACTAAAACGATCCCTGGCTGACCTGAACGCTGCAGCACCTCACGCACTACTTATGGGTGCTGCTAGCAGGCTTTAAGCCCACACC